GACTTTGAAACATCTCTAATGAATGGGTGGGAAAATGGTTTGGGACCATCTTCTTACAGGAAATAAAGACTCGTCCAACCATTAACCTCACGATAAGTTTTAGCTGTTTGGCAGTTGAATCAGTTCGTCACTCTGTTTGAGCACTTGATTAAAAAAATCTGTCCTTATGGAGTTACTGATGTGCAAACTTTTTTTAACTCAATAGAACAACTTCTGTACACGCATATGTCACTGGATTATAAACATTTAGACTTGTTTGGTCTGCAAGCTCTTCAAAAACCCATCTGGGGCCTGGGAATGACAGGGTAAAGGAGAATCATGTCAACAAGTGTGAAAAATGTTAAATGTTACGAGAAAAAATGTGCATTGCTTCTTAGTTTGTAAATAACTGTGAACCTGCTCATGCAGAGACTATTAACTCCTTGTAGATTACCATCAAAAGTTCTCATCAGACCACTTCGGGCCTCAAAGCATCCAGATGGAGAATCAGGATTAGTACCTTCACCAGAAACCTGGAATATCTAGTCCTGTACATGTCTACTGCCCTCTGGTGGAGTGTCAGAGCCAATTTGGTTTATTTTTTACTGTTAAATTATTATACAACTAAATAATAAAATACAACTGATGATTATATGGCTGTTATATTAACATTAGAAGATAATTATGTATTAAAAGGGGATGTAGCATTGGTACATATTTAAGCTTTGAATTAAGAATTTCAAAATTGAAACTGGAATTAAATCCGCATCAAATTAGAGAAAACCTCAATAAAAATGTATACATTTCTTAAGAATTTTAATCTAACACTGTAGTGTAGGGCTGCATTGTGATGCAGTTGGTTGCAGTGCTATCTTGCAGCAAGAAAGGCGCAGGTTCAAATCTTGATTGCAGCCTTTCGGCATGGTTGGAGTGCTCCAGGGTCCGCCCAAAGACCAAAATCATGCACGTCAGGTTGAGCGGAAGCTCTACATTGTCCATGCAGACTGGTTGTCTCTGTTTGTCCCTGTGATGGACTGGAGACCTGTCCAGGGTGTCCATGGATGGATGGATGTATTGCACACACATTTAAAGAAATGTTATTTTAATTAAAGTTGCTTGTGTTTCAATCAACCTTAAAATGATATGTTGGTCATATTAATGCGAGTTCACATTAATCACTGCAAAATTTAGGAGATTAGAGCTGGTTAAAGATAGCAGCAAATACACTTTGGTTGTGTGTTCATTTGGAAAACTCTGAATTACACTGCAGATGTGCTGTTGCTTCTGCTGCATCACTCCACCTAAGTGGAAACCAGGGGAAATGGCATGTTGCATCCAGTCAGCAGCAGTGGCAGCAGAAAAAGAGCAGTTGTGAAGTAATTTGGAAGTTGTTCCGCTGAAACAAACAGCATAAACTCATTTGTAGATAATTAAAAACTGGGAATACAGCATTCTAACACAAAAGAATGACTTTGTCGAGCAAATGTTGTTTTATAAACTGGAAATTTATTCCAGTTTATTACAGATCTGGAAAACCGTCAGTATTGCTCCAGTCAGAGGACTACTTCCACGTTCTACAGTAACCTGCCTTTGCATCACCTGGGGTGGGGTTACTACTGTAGGAAAAAAGGCTCACTTTAAAAACGGTTTTCAGTCTGCAAATCAAAATATTCATCACAACACTGCATCTTAAAATGTTGTTTTACATCTGTGACTTTAAGCACGTCAGCTGAGTGAGATTGTGCCTGTTGATGATTTTTGTGTGTTAGCGCTATCTTGTGTAAGAAACAAGTCATTACAGCTGAAACCTTTAATTCCACAGCCTCTTACCTCTAGTCTGGCAAGCCAGACTAAATAAATGTATTATTTTTTGCAAAGCAAGAATTTGGTCTAGTTCACTAGGCTATCTTACCTCAGCTTTTGTCGGACAAAAATCTTTTATAAAAAGTGTGAACCTCTGATATGTTCCCACTTCTTTACTGTTGTCTGTGTTGTCATGTTTTTCCTTTGTGTGTGTGTGTGTGTGTGTGTGTGTGTGTGTGTGTGTGTGTGTGTGTGTGTGTGTGTGTGTGTGTGTGTGTGTGTGTGTGTGTGTGTGTGTGTGTGTGTGTGTTTAATTCATTTAACTGTGGTAATGTTTTTTTTAAATATTTTTTAGAAGCTGGTAGGAATATCTGTTTATTTCATTTGTAAGGACACTTTTAAAATGCATTATTTCAAACTGTATTTACTCCAACATTTTACATGATAACACACATGAAAGGTGCCTTAGATTGAAGTTACAGATGTCTGCCATCTCCTGGCAGAATGAGCTATCAAATCTGCAACTGTGGCTCTTTACAGTCAGAAATGTTGCTTGTCGCAATTTTGCACCTTTGGCATCTAAAGAGTTAAGAGTTTCACATCTATGTTTTAAAAAAATACTGAAGCTATTTTTCTGAGGTTTATGAACACACACGACGTTTCACACAGAGATAACCTTGCAACGGGCTGTTGCTAATGGTAACAAAAATCTCCACTTACCCTCCCCGTGACAACAGCGCTGTCCTTTGCAGGGAGAATCCAGATCTGGATACCGACAACAAACCCTGATTGAGTCCATTTGTATCCCTCCAGGCTTTTATATGCTCGTAGCGATGCTCCGGAGTAGGACGAGGGAAAATTAATAAGGAAATTATAAATGTCAGGGTATCTCAAATCCGGTAGGTCCGTTCCGACAGCGTCTGGCGTTTTAAAAAGTATCCCAGGGGCATGGTAAGGGTCGGAGATGTTTAATCTATTTAATTTATGACAATATAAAATGATTTCTTTGGTTTTAAAGTTTGAAGTGAACTCCGACAGAGTAAAATCCAAGCCGATCCCATTCATGTTCATGTTTACGATCCGTGTGTGTTTACCTTTTTTGCCTGCCAACATGGCATCTACTCTCTGAGAGTCACGTGACGTCCGGAGCTCTATAGTCCATTGTGGCATTAACGGAGGGGTGCCAGCAGTCAGGACTGGGGGCCCCCCAACATAAGGGGGCCCCAGGCGGCCGCGGACCTATGCCTAATGGTTAAACCGCCACTGGTATGGAACATACCAGAAACCCATCATCCAGTCAGAATATGGAGCTGATTCGGTGGTGGGACTTCACAGTGTGAGTTTCCATGTTCCTATTAAATCATTTACCAGTCTGTGCTGCACATTTTCTCAGCATCTGATCACCTTCTTCTGTGTGTTATTACTAAAATTTACTATTTTGATAATTTCCTCTCCACAGGATCCACTGCTGATGTTCACTGAGGAGTACCAGAAGGAATTCCTCAAAGCCTACCACAAGGTTTTTGACCAGGAAAGGAAGCAGTACTTTGTTGGGGAACTTGTCTGGAACTTTGCAGATTTCATGACTCAGCAAGGTAAACATGATCTGAATTTCATCTCATCATTACTTTGGGCTTCATCATTCCCATTCATTCTTTTGTAATATAATGAGAAATTTAAAAAATTATTTAACTGGATATTTTTGAGAACAACAAGGCAGGAGGATACTACTCTGAGTGTACTTTTACACAGCCAAGGAGCTGTTTCACCAGGACCAATTTAGATGCGACACAGCCTGAGGTCCTGTCCACACGTAGCCGGGGATCTGCCAAAACGTAGATATTTTTCTACGTTTTGGCCTGTCATCCAGACGAAAACGGATCTTTTTAAAAACTCCGGCCAAAGTGAAGATCTGCGTTTTCTCCGTTTTGGGTGTCTGCGTGTGGACAGACAAAACCGGAGTTTTAAGGTCCGCAACGCCACTTTCCGCGACAAAAAATGCTGACATCACGTGTGCGACCTGTGTTTACACTAGCCGGCATCATGGAAGCCCTCAGAGCTGCGCTCGCTTTATCAATTGTCCAAGCGCTCTTTGCTTGTTTGTTTTTGCAAGCGGAATTACTGCTCCTTGCGGAAGACCACAGACGAAGGACGAGGTTAAGAACGGGGGAAGTATTGCCGCCTACAGGTCTGGCATGTCCTTAACAACGTATTTATCCGGGTACGTGTGGACAGAGTTTTTATTTTAAACGAGGTGGTGTGGATGCAAATTTTTGGAGGGGCGGATATTCGTTTAAAAAAAAACGGCTACGTGTGGACTAGGCCTGAGTCTGATCACTTTAATGTGTTTAAGATGTGTTTACTTGGTGAGGAGTTTTTGCTTCAGTCTGGTAACATCGCTCAACAGTGAGTGATTTGTGTCAGTTACAAGCTGTGGCAAGATCATAACATTTTTCTTTTAGCAAAATGCATCAAAAAATTTGCTTATTGTGCCCAATGAGATGTTTAGGGGAGCCCATTTGGCCAGCTGTGGAGGTGGCAGGGTGCAATGTGCAGCAGGTAGACCACCAAAAAAGTCAGTTGTTTGAATGGATAAACTCCAGTTATACTACTCATGTTGTCTGAATTTATAGTAAAATTACTTTAATTGTATTACTTTTTTAAAATATTTTAATAGAAACCTAGCCCATTTGGCTTTTTCAGTGTTGCGGTTAACATTTTATAATACTGGATACTCACAGATTAGTCTGTGGAAAACCCATCGACATTAATATAGGCAAAACCTGAGAGAAAATTGGTCCAGATAGTCTGATGTTAGCTTCTGAAAAAGCTCAAAACATCCTCGTTCACTTTAAAAGTGTCTAAAATATTTGTAACCAGTGTGTTTTTGTCATTTTTCTTTCATGACACGATTTTCGACCCAGGAAATGTTCTTATGCTCAACTCTGAATCTAATAAGTTGTGATTTTAACTGGTGGTAAAAAAAATTGAGTTATCAACAAAAATTCTAGCTTTTGGGAGTTATTTCTTTCGCCCCTGCTTCCTGTCTTCCTCTCATGACGTTAGAGCTTTATTTTTAAAATGTGGTCGAATTTCCCTTTTCAGATTTCTCAGATGATCTGCTGACCTCAGAGCTCCTGGTGGGCAGGTGAATGAAATAATTATCAAGTAAAGGAACGACATTTCTGAAATCTGTTTAAAGAAAATAAAGCAAAGAATTGTAGGTGTTTTTATTTTATTTTATTTTATTTGTCAGTTGATTGTGATCGTACAGTGATAAAGATGGAAAGTAGTGTTTTAAACCAAGAAGAAGAGTTGCAGGAGTCAGCAAACTGAAGATGCGTCAGTTCGTGGTTGCAGTCTTGATAGATATTTCACAGCAAATGGAGATCATTTTCATGATGAGCACGTCAGGAAATTAGGCTGGGCACTCCCCTGAACAAAGAAAGGAAAAGCAAATTCCTTAATGCTTCTATAATTTTTTTTGCAAACAATTGTGTGCAAAAACTTTAGCAAAATGTACCATTTTTGGGAAGGAAAACAATATTTTCAGCCAGAGATCCAGTCCTCAAAGCAAGCTGCTTGAACTTCTCCTTGACTGGAGCTGCAAGTTCTTCTGCACGTCCTGTCAAACCAAATGCTTTTAATTTATCTTCGCTAAAACACCAAACTCCTGTCTGTGTTTAAACTGAGTGCAGGGCTTTACCATATAGTTTGGTGACAGTGGAGGTTCCCTCCTCCTTGGTTTTGATGGTGTGAATCAGCATGTACTCATCAGCCTTCAGCTCAGCAACACGCATGTCGATCATACGGCCAGAGCCTAAACACAGGAAAATCAAAAGGTGTGATCTATGAAATCAGAAGGACAATGCTGGCTCGTTTTGTTGGTTTTAAGTGATGTGTGCTCATTTAATGTTGATGTTTAGGGTATTGCTTGATTTTTATTTTAAAACAAGGTGTGCTTTTATTTAATTTACTCAGTTTAACAAAATTTTTCCTCAGAGCATTTTTACTTTTACCCTATGTTCTATGAGCTTATTGTATTGTGTTCAGCACCTTAGTCCACCTTTATTGGTGGCAGGAAGGTGCTTTATAAATAAACTGAATTCAGTTGACAATAGATGTGTCATGGTCTGCGTCTGCGTCTCCCTTACGTGTCTCTTTGTGTTCCTCATGTGTCCCCTGGTCTGCAGCCCCTCCCTCCCAGGTCCTGTGTTCCTTTGGTCTCCCCCTGTCACCCCTCTGCAGTTTTTATAGGTTCAGCTTTTCATTTTATTAGTCTATTTAGTGTGTTTTCCCACAGGTTTTTGTAGTTTTCATTCCCCTTAGGACAGGGGTGTCAAACTCAAACTCACACGGGGCCGAAATGAAACTCTGGGACGGAGTCGAGGGCCAAACTTAATATTTTTTGAAAAAGTGACGGAAAATTTGCACATTTTCTTTATCAACATATATGCAATTTTGAACCTTTTAATTTGGAAACAAACTTATTTCTGCATTAACACTGAATGTGGAATTACCAAATTACACACGAGCAAGTCAGTTTTAAATAAAAGGCATCAGTGGTATTCATTACTTGTGGTATAATCAGCATTTTTAAAATCTTTTAAATCTTTTCTCACGGGCCAACAACAAAATAAAAATATCATTTTATCTTAAATGAAAATGCAACATCTCACCTGTTAACTTTCATGTTTTGGAGCAGAAAAAGAGCATAAAACCTAAATATTTAAAGCTCAGTTTGCTCTACTGGTTTACTGTGATGCTCACCTGTTCCAGCCAGATACCTGCATCATGGGGTTGATATGAGCTGAGGAGGCTCCAGTCGTTTTGTTCGTCTTCATCATAATAATGACAACATTAGATAATGAACATGTCTGAGCAGCTTGACCACGTTGTTGTGTGTCGGGGAGGAAACACAACGACAGCAGCCACAGAGCCGTGCTGGTTTGAGCGTGTCGCTGCTCGCGGGTACTCCATGCCTTTGTAATTTCTAGGCTTGACTACTGCAACTCTCTCTATGCAGGGTTGTGTCAGTCATCACTGCGTCGCCTACAGCTTGTGCAGAACAGCGCAGCCAGGTTCCTGACTGGGACCAGGAAACGGGACCACATCAGTCCGATTCTGGCCTCCCTGCACTGGCTTCCGGTTTGCTATCGCTCACAATTCAAAATCCTCGTCTTTGTTTATCATTTCTTCCAGGGTGGTGGTCCCCCATATCTAGCCACACTCCTGAACAGACACTCCCCATCACGCGCTCCTCTGACTAAGGCCTGCTCGCTGTCCCTCGTTCTAGGTGTCGTACTCGCGGGGACCGGGCTTTCTCGGTCCTAGCACCGTCACTCTGGAACCAGTTGCCACCCTCAGTTAGGCTGTCCCCATCTCTGCCAGTCTTTAGGAGTCGCCTAAAAACCCACCTCCTCCGCTTGGCGTTCCCTGAACATGTTTGATTTTGGCCCTCTTTTATGTAGAATTTATTTCACAGTTTTCATTGGTTCACTAAATCCGTTGTTTTACACATTTGTCCTGTACCAGAATGTTTCACCTATTTTGTAATTTGTATTTTGTAATTTGAATTGCTTTTACTTTTTGATTTATTCAATATATTTACATACAACTGTACCATGTTCAGTGCCTTGGGCTTCCTGACAGGGTTGCGGAACGCGCTTTATAAATAAAGCTTTGATTGATTGATTGATTGATTGATTGATTGATTGATTGATTGATTGATTGCCTCTCATCATGCCCCAGTGTATGTAACCCTGTCTGCGTCTCTGTCTGTTGTTGGGTCATTGTCTTGTCTCACCCTTGTCTCGTTCCCCTCTCTAGATTTTGGTCTTTGTTTTTGGATATTCTAGGTTTTGTTGTTTGGGACTTTTTGATTTTTGTTTTTGGCTCCCTGCCTTTTTGGATTTATTCTTAATAAAAGATTTGACGTTATTTCTCCACTCAGTGTCATCTGGTTCTCTGCATCTTTGGGTTCTAACCTCCTCTTGGCTCCCCAACGTGACAAGATGGGTAAATTAAGGATTTTACTTACGCTGACAAGTGTAGGTGAACTTCCCAGGTACGCCGGTCTTCTTTGCCAATTTGTTCTTCTTCAAGCAAGTACCGTCAGACCTGCGAAGGCACGACTGAAACTTATGAGCGAGGTCAAAGTTTCAGAATTTTTAAGTTTTACTTTCTTATTTTAAAATTTCAGTTTGTCTCTCTCTCTCGTCTCACACCTACCTGAGGCTGTCATAGGACATCTCCAGGTCTCCATCTGCAGTTAGTTCAAGCATGGCTCTGCCCATCTTCATTGTCGCTCTGCGGCTGGTGAACCACTCAGAGTTTGAGGCAATTCCAACCAGGTACCACCTTCCTACCATCTGTGGGCATGAAAAGGAAAAAAAACCCATTTAATAATTAGGTTTTGTTCAGTGTCAGTCAAAAGCAGACAACACTGCATATTTTCTTTGGAGCAAACAAAAAACTGATTGATGGAAGCATACATTTGCAAAATCAGTTTTTTTTTTACCCCCTGAATGTTGAAGTCTGCCGGAGGAAGGACTTCAGCTGAAACGCTCTGGGAGCAGAGCACAGCTCCCAGCAGGATGAGCAGCGGGGTCATTGTCATTGAAGAGGAGGGCCAACACAGACGGTGATGATCGGAGCCTGGATGGTCCGGTACTGGGACCTCTGGCTGATGGTTCTTTATATAGAGCAGAGTGGGGGAACCTCCCTTACCCCTCCTGAGCCAGAACACAACCCACAGAACTGGGCTGTGTTCAGACACGTGAAGCCTCAGGCAAACGTCTGGTATGTTGTTACTGCTGCAGGGTTCAGTTCTTCCATACCGCCCAGCCAACCATGTGAGAGGTAAGCAGCAAAGACAACAACAAGCTTAAACACAACAGACCCAGAGAAATTTAGGACAAAATTAGATATATCTCTTTTTCAATGGTTTTTCTCTCTAACTTTAAAAAAAATGAACAAATAAAAAAGTAGAACCCCAAAGTGATAAACAAGCTACCCTCCAGGACTTTCTGTGGCAGAGACCACATAATCAAACTCATCTGTCAGCAGTTGCAACAGTAAAACTCTGAGAGAGAGAGAGAGAACAACAGCTCAGATTAATGATGCCCGAACATGTGCAGGAAAACATTGTGCATTTTTATCACATTCCTGTAAAATCTTTCATCTAAAAAGCTCATAATCTTCATAGATAAGTGTGAATCTCATGTGTTCATTTTAAAATGGCCTCACTAAAAAAAGTTAAAAAGCAGGAGCAGTTATAGTGTTTCTGACAATTTTAATAAAAATTCATCTTATTTCTGCAATAAATAAGTTATTTCGTTAAACAGATATCGTTTGAAAACACCCAGAAATCTTTAAAGGAAATTAAACCCTCTTCTCCGAGCCTCATGTTCTTCACAAAGGCTGAACTCAGCCACCCTACAGAGGAAGTTCATTCTAGTTACCTGAAATTCAATTTTAAATCAGGCACAGATTGTGGTTATATATAATAAGGATAAAATGAAAGTCTAACATTTACACTTTTTACATCACATGTGAATTTGCCCATCACTGCTGTGTGTAAAGATCTGGAACTTGTCCAGATCTGTGTGTATAAACACAACTGCTGAAGCGTTGACTCAGTTGTTTTTTATAGTTTGGTGCAGGCAGATACACGCCACGACACGGAAACCTCCAGGAGGCGTACCTCGCCAGTTTAAACAGGCACGCTTTTTCCACCATGACATGCAAAAAATATATAATAAAACCTTGTACCAAACAGAGTTTCATAACAACAGATTTATGAAAACAAACTTGTGCAAAAGACTTCAACCACAGAAATCTTCTTGATTACAAAATCTGTGAGTTGCTTCATAGTTTGATGGTTTAATCTGGCTGCAGAAAGTTCATCGGGTTTGCAGGGTGACAATGAATGTCATTGTCAAGGTCTGCGTCTGCCCCTTTCTTCATGTGCCTCCTGGTGTTCTCCATCCCTCTCTAGATTCCCTTTTGTGTCTCTCAGCGCCCTCATGTGTCCTTTGTCTGCGTTTCAGTTAGGTGTCATGTTGTAGGCTTTAAAGTCAATTTCCTCCCAGGTCCTGTGTCATTCATTCATCCCCAGCCCTCCGGGCCTTCCTTCACGCTCTGTAGCTCCAGCCTCTTTGTCCCCAGCTCGGTGTGTGTGTGTGTGCCATTCCCCTGCTCAGTGTTTGTGTGTGTGTGCGTGTCCATTTCACAGTTCATGGTATATGTGTATGTGTCTGTGTGAGTCCTTCCCTCAGTTTTAGGTTTAGTTTTGGGTTTGAGGTTATCTGCCCTCCATTGGTTCTGTTTCGTTCCCTCCTGACTGCCAGTGGCAGTAAACAGAGTGAATGTATCTCCTCGCGCTCTGCGCAGGTCGAGTACTAATGTAAACAAAGTCACGCACGTGACACGTAGCGCACCTGGTCGCGAGTCTATAAATTACGCGCCGATAGCTACGTTCAGGTCTCTTTGATTTTCTCGCTGTTGGCCTGGCGTGCTTCGCTGGTCAATCGCTCCGTAAGTCCGTGATTCGGATCTTATCGGTCTTGAGAGGTGAGTACTGTTTTTACTTGGCGTCTTCCTGCCCGGGACCGTGTGGTTGGAGCGCTCGAAGGAGCCCTCTGGGGCGGTGGATTGACGCTGTTATTTCTCTGTTATTTGTTACCGAGTGCGGGTAGTGCGGCCGGCCGGCGCCGTTCGGACCGCCGCTGCCGGCTCGGATAGGGCTCGCTGGCGGTCGCAGGTTTTCCCCTGTGGAAAGGGGAGGTGGGTGCGGCCGGCGAGCGCTACAGGTAAGTGGGGCTGGACGTTCTGACCGTGGTGGTGATACGCTCAGATTACCCAGCCGACACACACACACACGTGTGTTGTTTTACAACGCTACCGGTGAGTGGGGCTGGACGTTCTGACCGTGGTGGTGGCACGCTCAGATTACCTAGCCGACACACACGCACGTGCGTTGTTTTACAACTCCAGGACTGACTCGCGTTCTTCAGTTTTCCTCGAAGTCCTCGCTCAGTTCCTGTGGAGTCGCTGGCGTCTCCCACACCGGTAAGGATGTTGGAGTGTACGTCATGCGGGGCTCCCCTCCAGGTGGAGGACGGCCACGACTTGTGTCCTAAGTGCCTGGGCGTCGGTCACCTCAGAAAGGCGCTGACTGACCCATGCATGAACTGCAGCATTTTGCCGCTGGCGGTGCGGGAGGACAGGCTACGGCAAGTAGAGTGCCTCCGGTTTGAGTCAGACCTGCCGCCCTCTGGTGTCCCTTCGCCCGTGTTCCGGGAGACGGAGGGATAGACCGGCTGAGGAACGCGGCAGCCCGAGGCGCAAGAAGCGGCGTGTGACGCAACCCTCTCGCCAGGAAGTGGACTCTTTGCGGGCGGAGGTGGAACAGCTCAAAGCGCTGCTGACCAGAGCCCCGGACGAGGGGGGCCCGGACGACCTGATCTCTGTGAGGGCCTCAAATTCTGAGTTTCAGTCCCTCGAGGAGGAGGGCCCCTCTCCGGGCCGTAGTCAGGGGCTGGTAGTGGAGCCCCCGGGCCTGGGAGGTCACGGAGACTCGGGGATGTCTCTCCATAGCTCAGCAAGCTCGGAGCTGGCGGAGGACCCCTGTCAGTTGCGGGCGATTTTGCGAGCGGCACTGGCCAGGATTGGACTGGACGACGTGCCGGTGGCCCGTCCGGCGGGGAATCCCTTCTTCCGCCGGGCTCCGGCGGCGCCCCCGTTTCAGGTCCCACCATCGCCGGCCTTTGTGGAGGAGCTGCAGCGGTGCTGGGGGTACCCGAGACAGCTCACCCACCATGGTAGGGATGCCAGGACCCTGGCATCGATGCGGGAGGCAGGAACCTACGGGTTGGACCGCATGCCCCCGGTGGACCACTGCATTGCCTCTTTGGTGCTCTCCCCAGATGAGGCATTGAGGGACAGGGTCCGCTGTCCGAGCACCCAGTGTTGGGTGACCGACAGCTTACTGTGCCAGGCTTACGACATCGGGGCACGGATGGCATGCACCAGCAATTCGCTGTCGGTGCTGTTGCTAGCCCAGTCCCAGATGCTGCAGTCGGGCGCAGCGGGGATGGCACTGGGCGATACGAACGACGCAGCCCTGCAAGCATTTGGGCTGATGTCCAGGGAGCTTGGTCGGTTGTTGGGCACGCTGGTAGTGGCTCGCCGTCAGGTCTGGTTGGCGCAGGCCCTGGTGTCGGATGATTGCCGACAGAGCCTGCGCGGTCTGCCCGTGGTGCCGGGCCAGTTGTTCGGGCCCGAGGCTGAGCGGGCGTTGGAACGTCGGCGGCAGTCCAGACAAGCCGCAGAGGCCTGGAGTGGGCGTAGCGGGGCAGGGATCTTCCCCATGCCACAGTCCAGTCCACGAGGGGCACGGTACCCTCGGCGCCGGTTTCGTCCGGTCGCCCCCGTGCAGGTCACCCAGCAGACCGCGGCAGGGACTTGGAGACGCTCGGGGGCAGGTCAGGCACCGCCCCGGGGATCCTCGGGGCAGGACAGGGGCCGCCGCCCCCCCAGGGCCCCAAACAGGCGTCGGGACACGGCCTGAGGGCTGTGGGCCGGCGGCGGGCAGATTTACACCACAGCACCTGGCCCTCTGGGAGGCCCAATGCGGAGACGCTTGGGTGGTTCGAACTATGTCCCAGGGCTACAGGTTGCAGTTCCGCGGTCGACCCCCACCCCCTTCGGGGGTCAGGGTGACTTCGGTCACAGATCCTGCACGGGTCAGCATCCTGATGCAGGAAATAGATGTTCTCCTGGACAAACGGGCCATAGAGGTCGTTCCGCCGCATTTGCAGGCAGACGGCTTTTATTCGACGTATTTCTTGGTGCCCAAGAAGGACGGGCCCCTGCGGCCGGTACTGGACCTCAGGGGTCTCAATCGGTTCCTGAAGGTGCTGCCCTTCCGCATGCTTTGGACTCGCGATGTCCTTCAGGTGGTTTGTCCGGGAGAGTGGTTTACGACCATAGACCTCAAGGACGCATACTTCCATGTCCCGATCCATCCGGGGCACAGGAAGTACCTGCGATTTTCTTTCCTCAGGAGGGTGTACCAGTTTCTGGTTCTGCAATTCGGCCTGTCTCTCGCCCCCCGAGTTTTCACGCGGTGCGTGAAGGCAGCCCTGAGCCCCCTGTGTCGGGCGGGGTTGAAGGTCCTGCCATATCTCGACGACTGGCTCGTCTGCGCGCCGTCGTGTCGCGAAGTGGGTCTGGCCACGGCCAGGGTCCTTGCCCACGTCGAGGCGCTGGGGATGACGGTGAACCTGCAGAAGAGTTCTCTGGTTCCGACTCAGCGGGTGGATTTTATCGGCATTGCCATAGATTCTGTGGCCATGCGGGCGAGGCTGACCGAGCAGAGGAGGGTCCGTATTCGGTCCTTGCTCCGGGCCTTTCGCCTTGGGGCGGCACCCCCGGTCCAGGTGTGGCTACGACTGTTGGGGATGCTGGTCTCGGCTTCTGCACTGGTGCCTCTCGGGCTACTCCACCTTTGGCCCGTGCAGAGGTGGTTCAACGGCTTCTGCCTGGATCCCCAGCGACACCGACGGGTCGAGCTGGAGGTCACGAGCAGCTGTGTGGCTCTTTTGCGTCGTTGGGACGATGTCCCCTACCTGAGTCTCGGCGTCCCGCTTGGCGCGGTTCCCGCCAGACGGGAGGTGGTCACGACGGATGCGTCACCCAGGGGGTGGGGGGCGCATTGGCAGTGCAGGTCGGTCCAGGGGTTGTGGAGCCCCCGTCAGGCACGGCTTCACATCAATGTCCTGGAGTTGAAGACCGTCTACTTGGCGCTGAGGCGCTTCTTGCCCTTTCTGCGGGGCAAGCACGTGCTCATCCGAATGGACAGCACCTCGGCGGTGTTCCACATAAACCATCAGGGGGGCACCAGGTCATTGCGATCGTTGAGGGAGCCTCAGACGCTGCTGACCTGGGCCTACCCTCGCTTGGCCTCCATCAGGGCGCTGCACCTTCCGGGTTGGAGGAACTCGGTGGCAGATCGCCTGTCCCGGCGGGGTCTTCCCCCGGGGGAATGGAGGTTGCACCCTCAGGTGGTGCAGAGGGTGTGGCACCAGTTCGGAGAGGCCCAGGTGGATCTGTTCGCCTCGAGGAGCAGCAAACATTGCCCTCTGTGGTTCTCCCTGGCAGAGGCCGACGCCCCTCTGGGGATGGACGCCCTCGCCAATGCCTGGCCGTTGGTTCGGCTGTACGCTTTCCCGCCTTCTCCGTTGCTCTTACCAACCCTCCATCGGGTGAGGGACTCGTCACACGAGGTCCTTCTGGTGGCACCAGACTGGCCCATGAGGCTCTGGTTTCCATTGCTTCTCAGTCTGCTGAACGGGGAGCCGTGGCGGTTGCCGGCGAGACGGGACCTCCTGTCTCAGATGGAGGGGAGGATTTGGCATCCGTCCCCAGATCATCTTCGGCTCACGGTGTGGCCATTGAAGGGGGCAGGCAGCCCCCAGTCGGCTTAGAGCCCTCCATCCAGCAGGTGCTGGATAGTGCCAGGGCTCCGTCTACAAGGGCGACGTACGCTCGCTGTTAGCAGCGGTTCTCTACCTGGTGTTCCGGCAGGGACGTGGACCCTGGTTCTTGTTCCCTGCATGAGGTTCTGCAGTACCTCCGGCACCTGTTTGACAAGGGCCGGGCCGCCTCGACCCTTAAGGTTCACCTGGCGGCTATTTTGGCCAACCACCTCTTGGTGGATGGCAGGAGCATTGGGGCTCACTGTTTGGTGACCCAGTTTCTGCGGGGCGTGAGAAGGTTGCGTCCTGCCTTGTGCAGGCCGGCACCTGCTTGGGACCTTCCCCTGGTCCTGCAGGCCCTGTGTGGGCCACCCTTTGAGCCAATGACTACCGCCCCGTTGTCAGTGGTGTCTGTGAAAACCGCCTTTCTCTTGGCAGTGACGTCAGCTAAACGGGTCAGTGAGCTGCACGCACTGGACATCAGCCCCGCCTGCCTGCGGTGGAAGGCAGATGGGTCGGGGGTGACGCTGTGGCCCAACGTCGCCTTTCTTCCGAAGGTTCTGCCCGCTGGCTATGTGAATGCCGCAATCGAGCTGGGGGCGTATTTCCCTCCCCCATTTCACTCGGAGGAACAACGGCGGGCGAATTTGCTGTGCCCGGTCCAGGCACTGCAGCTCTATATTGTGGCCACAAACACTGTCCGGCAGTTGAACCAGCTGTTTGTCTGTCACGGAGGAGTGAACAGGGGTTGGGCCCTCTCGAAGCAGAGGCTGTCACATTGGGTCGTGGACGCCATTGCGATGGCTTATGCGGCAGTGGGTGCAGTGGCTCCCCCTGGGATCGTGTGCCATTCCACCAGGAGTGTTGCTACATCCTGGGCGGCGATGAGAGGTGTGCCACTGGCGGACGTCTGTGCTGCGGCGTCCTGGGCAACTCCGTGCACGTTTGCACGCTTCTACCGCCTCAACGTTGGCCACGAGTCCACGCTCGCTTCGGCGGTGCTGCCTCTGGTGGCTACCTCCTGAGTGACGGTGAGTTTTGTGTTCCTCGTGACACTTCTGGCATAAGTCATCCACTCTGTTTACTGCCACTGGCAGTCATCCAGGAACTCACAGAACCATAGTTACACCGTAACTTCCGTTCTGTTTCCCCCATTTAGATAATTGGTGTCACCTGCCTTCCCTCCAGCCCTCACTCCACACACCTGTTTCCTGTTTCCTTAATTGTTCTACCTGTGTATTTAAGCCCTGTCTTGTCTCTGTTTGGTGTCGGTCCATTGTTGGTAATCTGTCAGTCTCGTCTTTCGTCTTGGATTATTAGGTTGTTTTTTTTTTTTTTTTGGTCTTATGTTCTCTAGAGTTTTGGTTTTCCAGATCGTTATCTGGATTTTGGATTTTGGCTCCCAGCCTTTGGACTTATTTTTGTTCTCCTTAAAATAAAGGATTTTTTCTTATTCATCATCTCTGCCTCGTGTCATCCTGGGTTGCTGCATATTTGGGTCCTAAACATCCCCAAAACGTGACAGTCATTTTTCTGTTTTCTACCAAAGTTCTGTTTGCAGATGATAATTCATGAAATAAATTGTTTCGGTTTGTTACCAAGAGAATAAAGAGGCCAAAATAAGAACCCAAATGATGATAATTATGTACATTTAAGTGTTTTAATAACTGACAGCATGATGAGAATATAGTTTTAACCTTCTATTGCAGCAGATGCAAGTACCTTATCTTTGAGCTTTTTTTTTTAGCAACATGGACGTGTGAAATTTAACTGTGAAGCAGGTGAGAAACAAAGAAATATTGAAAGAGGAGAAAATTCTTATCTAAGCTGAGTCCATCAAACACTTTATTCAGCCAACAAAATTGTTCCAAAAAATGCAAAATAAATGGTTTGTTCCTGTTATCAAACAGGTTTGTACATTTATTTAAAAAAAGAAAATGAAAAAGGGGAATTAAGGGAATGAAACTTACAAAAGGATACACAACAAGTAGCACATTAATGGAACAATTCTGTATGCATTTATGCTCTACAATGATGTGAGAAAGTGAAATAAATTGAGGTAGGAATTACAGAATGTCACAACCACACAAGGGGTTATTTAGAAGCGGAAATGACATCAAATTTTAAAAATGGGTACTCAAGTCTGGAAAAAACAGCACTGGAAGTTTTTTATTTCCTTCACACTGGCTTGCCAAAAGGTCTTTTATTAGAAGACACTGATGCTGGGGATTCAAACTAGAGGCTGTTTTATAAAAATACATTCTTACAGAAAGATAAACTATTATTATTAGTTTAAACACATTTTGAATGTTTTTATTTCATTTCATCATTTTAAGTTTTTATTTCAAACAAAACAAGCTGCATTTGTAACTTTTCTGCATTCATATTTCAGATCTGAATTGTTCTATTTGGTTGTGCAAAGACAGTGGAGAGCACTAGGTGGAGCCAAACAGTCATTTTGATGTTTTGAACTTTCTCTTCAGGCAGGTGTCACATTTTGAGTTTTATTAGTCCGACCACTCATTGTCATCGAGCTCAGAGTCCTCCTCGGAGTCGCTGTACTCCACCGCGATGCGCCTGGAGAGGATGGTGGCCACGTCGTTCCCCACCGGCTCCCGCTGGCACTGCTGTTCCTGCTGCTCCTGAACCTTCTTCAGCTGGATGCCTGAAAATGGAGAAAATTATTCAAATAAACAAAATATATTACATGAGAATGACAAAATTAATATTAATAAGCCAAAGTTACCCATGCGGATGGCTGAAAGCAGGTCACTTCTGGCGTCTCTCACAGGTTTTGCATCAGCCCTGCAGCCTTCAGGGTGACCTGAGAGGTGTAAAGGCGCAGCTGGAGGAGGGAGTGGTGGGGGAGGAGGTACTGGCGGGAGAAGGTAACTGGGACCGACACCATTAAGTGAAGCTGGTGGCAGTGAGCCCAGAGGAAAGCCAAATGCTGTCTGAGCTGATGGGATGGAGGGGCCTGGGGGGGGCAGAGGCACCACTGCTGAACCCTTAGTCCTGTCTGCACCATGAGGCTCTGCTGGGGAGTAGGTCAGCCTCTTGTAGTTAACGTCAATGCTGTGGTATTCATGCTCCACGGGTGGTGGCGGGTGTGCGTTTCCAGGGATGTAATCGTGAGACTTGGCATAGTTACAAGCAGCCTGAGCAGGCAGGGGGGGGATTGGGTAGTCCAGAAGGTCAGGCCTGGATAAATGGTGACAAACAGGAAAATGATGATACGTTAACAAAAGCATTAGCTTAGGTGCTAAAAACTAACGTTCATGCAGCCCAGAATTGTCTCCAGAAATTAATTTGATGCTCTCAAAACCAAAATAAGTTGCTCTGACCTGCCATCTGGGGAGAGAGAGCCTTCTGATGAAGCTCCTCTCCGAAGAGTTTGTGGATGTCGGTGATCTGGACGAAGCTCCTTGTCGAAAGCCATCATGTTCCACTCCTGTCTGCGGTTTCGGGCCTTTCTCACCTTCTTCACCTCCCGCTGCAGGGTGCTGCTCACCATGCTGCGCTTCTGCTCCTGCGGAAAGACGTTGAGGAGGTAAAAATACCCTTTGGGTAAAAACACAACATTTTAACGCAGATTGAGGGCTCACCCTCTGTCTCCGCCGCTCCTTCCTCTTGTCCTCTGTGTCTTGAAGCATCTTCTCTTTCCACAAATCAAAAAAGTACGACGGGTCAGAGTAGAACTTCATGGCGTCTGTGGAATCCTCTCTGTTTTATGTTAAAAGAAAGATTATTTCCAACCTGTCAACAGCTGTTAATGCAATGGAAGCTATTGGTTTCTGATCAGACGCTCCACCTGTAAGCAGTGAGGTTCCTGAGAGGCGGAGGTTCATCACAGCTGTTGAACATCCCAACCACTGAATCAGGAATGCTGCCTTTGGACAAAACCTGCTGATCTTGGTTGGTGGAGCTTCTGAATGCCTTCCTCATATTTATGTCCTGAAGAGACACTGAAACAACAAAGCACGAGGTAAAAGATTTAAAATGTGTGTCGATGAACAACAATAACAAGTATACCGTCAAGTAAACAGACCTTCCTCAACGCTGGAGTCCAGTTGGGTGACTTTGACAGCCAGATGGTCAATTCGGTCCTGGAGAGAGTTAGCACGTACATAAAAGGTGTTGGCTTCATTGAAAAGCTCCCCAAACACATTTTCTGCATGTTTACCTGCAACCAGACGCAAAAAAGGGAGACATAAAAAGAAGCTGTTAAAAAGGACAAATTAAAAAAACTCTTTACCGTATTTGCTCACATCTTTCAGGGAAAACAGATGGTTCTAGCATGTTTTTAACACACGGGATTACTGTTCTGGATGTTTTTTCAGCATTACATGTTTCTTGCTGTGACATTAAAGCAGCTCAGATCTACTTATTGTAAAAGCTATCATTAGACCGCAAGTGTCTGTGTCTCCGCCCACCTCCATCTCATCTGCTTCACGGTAAGCTCTAATCCTCTGTTACTTCACTAAACACACACACACACACACTCACATATCAGAGTATCTACGTCAGACGTCAGACAGAAATGTTTCATTTCAAACCAGGAACAAGTATTACTCTTGTTCAGTAGATAGATGAAACTGCACATTATGGGATGCGTGTTTATTGTGAAGAGTTTTTTTGAGAGTCTTATTGTGAAGGATTGAAGGAAGAATGCCGTAAGTAGCCAAGAGGCTGAATCTAACATTCCATAAAATACCTCAATATTTCTATTTATTCAGGAAAAACACATACAGAACCCACGAGTTGGGTTTTGGAAAGGACATGTCGACTGTTTTTTATTTATTTCTTCCCAGCCACATTATGCCATCATGTAAATTTAAAAAAATGGCCTGCGTTAAGAAATTATACATGTTTGTAATTCATGGTCATCTTTATTTAACAGCCACACAAGATGTGACTGCAACTATTCTGCCACTCAAGCAGAAAGAAAGTGACTCATTGAGGATCTAAACCAATAAACGGGGCTGTATAAGATAAAGCTGTTTCAAAGTCATATTCTTAAAGAGAAGCTCAGTATGTGTTGAGCAGCTTGCATCTTACTCAGACTGCTGAGTTGACGGATGATGGTGGAAAGCGTGTTGTTGGTGACACATTCCAGTTCGCTGGAGACCCTGTCCGGCACGGCGCCGTGGCACAGGTGACGAGGCTCGATGTTTCTCTTGACCAGAGGCATGACTCCTCCTCACATCTCAACCTTGATGACTTTAGGGGTATCAAGTACACAGAGAAATTTTCTGCAGTTAAAAAATAAATTTCTTGAAGGAATTTGCTGCCTTTCATATTAAACAATCATGGATGAGTAATCTCCCATTGTTGTGAAAATCCTAAATTTAGCTCAATATTCCCTAAGTCAGTGGTTCACAATCATTTTTCCACAAGGACCCCCTTGCCTGTGTCCAGACAGGGCCCCCAACCCCAACCCACATACACAAAAGTAAGTAATTACAAACTTTAAACAGACATACAGAGTTACGATTATACCATTAGGTGTGTTTTTGTGATGTGTTTATTTTACAAATATAGTAACCTCACAACCTCAGCACAAATAAAACTGTGGGGACCCTCTTGGGAGGTCATGGGGCCCAGGTTGGGAACTCTTACTTTAGGGTATGATGATTGATCATCTGAGCAGTGAGTGAGAGAATTATTTAACTGGTTGGATGTTGTTGCCCGGGTGGAAAGCGGTGTGCCTGTTCCAGAAAGTTCAGATGACAGAATTTGGAGTTTAATTTCTTGATATTTTGACATTTCACCTTTGATTGGATAACAGCACAACTCTGACTCTGTTTGCTTTTCAACGTTGTTTAATCACCACAAATAACACAAGTGTTGGATAATTTATTTGATCTGGGACATGCTAAGGTCGAGTCTCCATTGTTTTTGTGTCCAGTACATAAAGTATGCCGGAGTGTTTGTTCTTTACACAATCATGCTACATGCAGCAATGCCCATGATTATCATCCGATTTCCAAACTCCCGTTTTTATCCAAGATTATTGAGAAAATAGTCCACACTCAACTTTCCAATTACTTGGGAGATCAAAGCCTCCTTGACCACTTTCAGTCTGGCTTTAGGCCTCACCACAGCACAGAAACTGCACACCTTCGTGTACTAAATGATATCCTGGTGGCAACTGATACTGGTTCCCATGTCCTTCTGTTACTCCTGGACCTCTCTGCTGCCTTCGACACAGTGGACCATGACATCCTACTTAGGTGGCTGGAGTTGTGGGTGTGGGTTAAAGGGACCCCACTTCACTGGTTCAGGTCCTATTTATCAGATAGGCACTTTAGTGTTCACATTGACAACTTTTCCTCTCCATCTAATCCACTTCGCTGGGGTGTGCCTCAGGGTTCGATTCTGGGGCCACTCCTGTTCTTGATTTACTTATTGCCATTGGGGATGATTTTAGCAAACCTTGGAATAAGTTATCACCTTTACGCTGACGACTGCCAGATTTATTTGGCTTTAAGTTAACCTGACTCAACTTGCCTTCTCGTTGACTGTATTACTGCAGTTAAAGGCTGGCTGTCGGAGAACTTCCTTTGCCTCAACAAAAATAAGACCGACGCCATTTTTTTAAATCCGATCAATCCAAAGCATGCATTTGGTGACTTCCCTCTACTGTTTTTAAATTTGAAATCTTGTGTAACCAGTCTGGGAGTGAAACTTGACTCTGATCTGTCAATGAGTTTACAAATTACAGCTACAGTCATGTCTTGTTTTTTTCAACTACGTTGCATCTCACGTTTAAAGTCAATAGTCAAACGACCACAGCTGGAGTCTGTTGTTCACGCCTTTGTCACCTCACGTTTGGACTATGTCAACTCAGTACTTATTGGTGTCAGTGTCTCAGCAATTGAGCGTCCTCGGAGAGTACAGAATGCAGCGGCTAGATTCCTGACAAATACCTATAGACGCAGTCAAATTTCACCTTGTCCTTGCACGCTTGCACTGGCTACCTGTCAAATATGGTATCCAGTTTAAGGTTTTAACATTTGTTTACAATACCCTGAATGGTCAAGCCCCTGCTTATCTGTCATAACTGCTTAAGCCTTATGTTCCACCCAGAACCCTGAGATCGGCAGATCACTTGCTTTTGTGCATCCCAAAAATGAAGTATAAATCTCGTGAGGAGTGGGCCTTTGCGTTTGCTGCCCCTAAACTTTGGAATGCTCTCCCCCTTAGTGTTCGAGAGGCCCTGTCACTGGGTCGATTCAAGTCTGTACTGAAGGTCTACTTCTATCATTTAGCTTTTGATCAATGACCAAGCTTTTATCGTTTTTATGTTTTTATTGTGACTCTGTTTTTTTTTTTACTCTAGTATGTTTCTTTTAAATTTTTAGGTTGTCCCTTTTATCTCCTATATGATCTTTATCTTGTTTTTATCTTGGGGTTTTACCTTTTTATTACTACTGTACAGCACTTTGGTCAGCTGTCATGCTGTTTTTAAATGTGCTTTATAAATAAACTTGCTATGGTATGGTATGGTATGATTTTCACATCTTGTTCCTGTAAGATGAGATTTGTGACGCACACAGATTTTTACACATTTCCATGTACTTATCAAATAGAAATGAACCTTGTCACTAAATGGGGATAGCCAAGCTAAGGATAAAAACAAATGCATGAAGATATTTGAGGCCCTTTTGATTGTTGGCCGTGGGGGTGGCTTCAGGGGGTCACATTGTCTTGTTTGTACCATTTTCTATGCATTTTTGTATAAACCAATTTAAAACCAACCTACTAAATAATAGCCATTTCTGGGAGTGTATGAGGAACAGAGTATTATCGTTCTTCCTCTCCTGGAAGTGAAGAACCAGGAAAGTAAGGTGTGATAGATGGAGATGATCCAGACATGAAAGGTGCTTTCTACAGACCTTAACAATAACTCAAGCCTGAAGAAGTTCTGCCGTGTGGTCGAGTTGCTAATGCTAACAGTTAGCTTCTGCTAGCAGAGATGTTCTCTGCTGTTTCCTGGACGCTAAACCAACAACAGCCTTCCCTGTCGTGACTCAAGATAGGTGAGTCCATGAATGTCAAGTGACAGTGTGACGAAGATCTGTCAGGCTTTTCAAATCCTAGAGTTTTATTGTCTATTTTCTTTTTTTATCAGAAGCTAATGCAGGAGACAGGTGAAGACTATTTTCGTGTTCAGCCTGCAGAAAAATGAGTGATCGATTATAATTAGAAATAATGAAATAATATGGTTTTTCAGTGAACCAGACCTTTAATTTTGATTTGTTAAGGAAGCCATCTTGAATTGGGCTAGAGATGAACATCCAATGGCCTGTTTTTTAAGAGTTCTTGTAAGAATCTAAGTTTTCTTATTGAAAAAGGAGGGCAAGAATTCAGCTAATTGTGAAATAAAACTAATTATTTTTTGGGGCGCAAATAAGCAAGAAAGTAAAACGTTGTAAAGTCATGATCTGTGGAGAAACATATGCTTTAGGGTAATTATTAATCATGATGTGTAAAAATCTTCAGTAAAATTAATGTCGGGCTTATTTAATGAGCCTCTGTACTCTGCAATGATCAAAAGTGCCTTTTGAAAAGTTAGATTAAATTTTTTTGAGAATATTAAAACTTAAATTTGACCAATAATTCTCCTTTGAACAAAGGTTACATAACAGAACTGCCTACCAGCGGCTCCAGTGGATTGCGTTGTCCTCCAGAAGGCTTCCAGTGGGTCAGCTTGTAAACTGGTTCGTTTTTCAACCCCAACATGCAAGGACGAAATAAAAAGAGCTGTCAGAGTCGAGTCCAAGCTGATAAACTAAAATTAAAGACTGTCTGATGGCCCATTGCAGCGTGGAGAATGTTGGAGGGTGGCGGTCATCTCTCCAGAACGCTGTTTACTCTGAAGGCAAATCCCTGCTCCAAATCACTGCCTGAGCCAGGAGGGGATTTACCCTGCAGATTTACCCCCATCGTCCAATCACAGCCATCAGCTTCACCAATTTTTCTTAGGTTGTAGAAATGGTAGACCTCATAGATATCCGGTAAAATATATCTTTGAAAACCACACTTTAACCCTCCCACTGTCTTTATGGGTGACCCCGCAAGGAAAGTTGACCATTGAGCAGGGTTGATGGTTTATCCCTTGAGGTCCATGTGGCAGGGGTGAGGAGTGAGCACCACCTCACCCCTGACCCAAGGGATAAACCATCAATCCTGTTCAATGGTCAGCTTTCCTCACGGGGTCACCCATAAAGACAGTGGGAGGGTTAAAATAAGATCTTTTATTAATTCCTGCATCATGTGTTTAATCACAAAATTGAGGTGATTTTTATTTTAAATGCAATTTTTTAATTTAGAGTTGATTGATTTAAAAAAATATCAGAAAAACCCCCACAAATTGTAACGTTAACAATGTCTTTAAAAAAAGAAAACACATCTTGGTTTACCAGTCAAGTGTAACATGAGTATTAAAGTGCATTTCCTTCTAATTTCCTCTGAGCACATGTTTTGCAGTGATTAAAAATGCAGTTTTCATTCTATTTCTCATTTTTTTCTGTTGTTTTTCTTTCAGATGATCCACTTTTCATGAACAGTAGTCTAATCTAGTGTGTAATCATCACAGTGGGAGTGACCTGGATTACGGAAGAAATGAGACATTCACAGTTTGACCTCAAAGCTTTGTGCTCGTTCACACTAACTGCCCTTTTCATACAGAATGGATTAGAAGGAGAACTGTAACCTAAATATAATGGCTTAAATCTGTGTGTGCATCACTGTATAAAACAATACCTCACAGTTTTCATTCAATAGTACTCCCTAATCCAGATTGATGTTTATGTTTATGTATTTAGCAGACACTTTTGTCCAAAGTGACTCACAGGTGATAATCAAGCCAGCAGGTTGCCCTTGAGGCTTAACAACAAACACTATTCAGTCAATCCTAGTGAGGCAGCATAATGAATCATAGAGGGAAGCGAACATGGAGTGTGCAGTAGAGTAGGGGGCGGGTGCTGGGAGGGTCCTAGTCTAGAAGATGCTCTCTGAAGAGCTGGGTCTTCGGGAGTTTCTTGAAAATCGACAGGGAAGCCCTTGTTCTATTGCGTGGTTGGTGATTCCACATCTGTGGAACGACACATGAAAAGAGTCTAGCCCAGGGGTGTCAAACTGATTTTAGCTCAGGGGCCACATTGAGGGAAATCTGGTCCCAAGTGGGCCGGACCGGTAAATTAAAAAAAACTTCAGATTGTTTTCTTTGTTTTAATACAATCAATATAAAACAAGGCTGGAGCCTGAGGACAGTGTAGTACAAGTACAACACCTGAAGTGTACTTGAAAATTTGAAAAAAATTTTAAAAAATCAACAAATAAAAAAAACATTCCTTAGTGATTCAAAGAGCTTACAGATCACATGGCTAGATCAGTTTCATGCAGCACTTAAAGTATATTTGACTCATTTTACTTTTAGCTTTCACCAGCACATCAATATCAGAAGTCACATCCTGAGTGGCGGCCAACTTCAGGATGTGATTCAAGTTCTTGTGTGAGTCTTGAGCGCAGCTTTGTTTTATTTATACTCATTACAGAGAAGACTTGCTCACAATGATAAGTTTATTTTCACTCTTATGTAAAGTATGAAAATAAAGTTTACACAACCATCTCGCGGGCCGGATTTAACCGGCCCGCGGGCCGCATATTTGACACCAATGTCGAAGGAAGCACGCAGACCAGCAAGCTAAAGAAGCTGCGTCACGTGCGTCTTCAGCGATTCCTGAGATCATCATACAGGTGACTCCATTTCCTTTACAAACTTTAAGGAATCACGTGTTCATCTCAGATTGTTTCATGGATTTTTTTACCCTAAACATCGGAATGACTGTGGTTCCATGTACACATTACATTATTACCTTGTAGATTATTTGAATAAACGAAATTAATTTCGCTTTCAATTAGATCTTATAACTTCCTCGTGAGCATAAAGTGGGTGTGAAAATGAAAGCGGGTTGTTTAGGTTAATAAAATGTGTATTTGTTTATTCAACATAAGCAGGTATGAAAATGTCAGTTACTGTTATTTTAATTATTCGGATTTTCCCCGCAGGATCACGACCGTTAACAAGTCCCTTTGTCAGACATTTATTTACTGAACTGTTGGTGTCAAACATGCGGCCCGCGGGCCGGATCTGGCCCGCGAAATCGTTGTGTAAACTTTATTTTCATACTTTACACTGTAGAGTGAAAATAAACTTATCATTGTGAGCAAGTCTTCTCTGTAATGAGTATAAATAAAACAAAGCTGTGCTCAAGACTCACACAAGAACTTGAATCACATCCTGAAGTTGGCTGCCACTCAGGATGTGACTTCTGATATTGATGCGCTGGTGAAAGCTAAAAGCTGTAAAGTAAAATGAGTCAAATATACTTTAAGTGCTGCATGAAACTGATCTAGCCATGTGATCTGTAAGCTCTTTGAATCACTAAGGAATGTTTTTTTTTATTTGTTGATTTTTTTTTTTTTTCAAATTTTCAAGTACACTTCAGGTGTTGTACTTGTACTACACTGTCCTCAGGCTCCAGCCTTGTTTTATATTGATTGTATTAAAAGAAAGAAAACAATCTGAAGTTTTTTTTTATTTACCGGTCCGGCCCACTTGGGACCAGATTTCCCTCAATGTGGCCCCTGAGCTAAAATGAGTTTGACACCCCTGATGTAGAGTTTACTACTGATAACCTCAAACAGGCCCGGAGTGGCTAATCGGGGTCTGGACCGCAAGGCCCGGTGTTGTTTTTGTTTGTTTGTTTTGGACCAGTGCTCAGTCATCACGCCACTGGGCTGATCCCTAAGACAACCTACCTGCTGAAAGGTCCTCATGTCAGGTACAAAGACAAAAACGTAATGTTTACTAACTCGTCAGTTTTTGTCTTCTTCTCTTTTTGTGATGGGGTTAGGGTTCAGTCATGGCTTTGATCAGACGCCGCTACCGCGCTGTCCCCGGGCCGCCTCTGCCTTTTTTCTGCAGACGCTTCCAGACGGAACACCTCAGGAGACTCCGGGTGGGAGAAGTAGGACTCAGGAGCAGGGCCAGATTAACACTTTGTTGTACCCTGGGCAAAAATATTCAAGGGCCCCATCATCACGACCCAAGGATCACCATAATATGGTCACATGCAAAATATATTACTGTAATATGCTATAAATATACTCAATACTTGAATGCCTGACATCATGTAACCCGCTCAGGGTAACCATTGACCCACCTTGTGTGGACTGACCAATGAGGAGAGGGTCTTAACTTGAGGCCCTCTCTTCATTGGTCAGTCTGCATGAGACTGACTCTCAACTGACGTTCAAAGTCATAGGCAGCGAAGCGTCTCTGTGCAGCGCAAAAGCCCGGGTGGACAGTTTGTTTAATGTAGGGTGATCATATTTCCATTTCCAAAAAAGAGGACAGGAGATCTGTGCCTATGACGTCACACTATGGCAACGCCACACAAACTCTGTGCTCTCTGCTCAAAAGAGTCCATAAATGATGTGATATAGGTAAAAAAAAAAAATTTCCGGCTCCCCTGGATGTGTAGGATATCCAGCTCCCCCATAATTCGATCCCTGCTCCTGGATGAAAAGCCGCACATTTTCATCAATACAAGAACCCCCAGTCCGGACGCCCGGACAGAGTGAAAAGTGGACATGTCCGGGGGAAACTGGACGTACGGTCACCATAGTCCTCATAAAGTGGGAAATTACAGATACAGTATTTTGCTCGTGCCCTTGCTGCCCTGGGCCCTTTAGAGTTTGTGGGCCCTGGGCAATTGCCCAGTTGCCCATATGGTTGATCCGACCTTGCTCTAACTCATTGGGTTTACTCAGAAATTAGCCGACTTTGAATTCCAGAAATGGATTTTAACTGCTCAGTAATCTGTTGCTGACATAGAAAGCTCACCAACCTACTTCCAGACTGAGATGATTTAGCTCCAGTCAGTCTGACACTGTAGCTGGTGTGTGTTTTTATCTCTCCTCCCAGACACTGACCAACAGCGTGGTCCAGGTGCCCTCCATGTTCAGCAGCACAAACCTGTGTGAGCACCTGTTGTCTGTGATGAAGATTAACAGAACAACACAGCTCCTTCCTCAGCTCAGAGCCCAACCCCACAGGTGTAGGTGTCTGGCTGGAACAGGTGAGCATCACAGTGAATCAGAGTGGAGCAAACTGGGATTTGAGTATTTTGGTTTTATGGACTTAGTCTGCTCCAAAGCATGAAAGTTTCAAGGGGAGACATTGCATTTTCCTTTAACCCTCCCACTGTCCTAATGGGTGTGATCCCGTGAGGAAAGTTGACCATTGAGCAGGGTTGATGGTTTATCACTTTGGTCCATGTGGCAGGGGTGAGGAGTGAGCACCACCTCACCCCTGCCACGTGGACATCAAGGGATAAACCATCAATCCTGCTCAATAGTCTACTTTCCTTGTGGGGTCACCCATAAAGACAGTGGGAGGGTTAAGAGAATTACTATTTTTTTTATTTAGGTTGTTGGCCTGTGAAGAAAGATTAAACCTACTTTAAAACAGGACAGATTACAGATTGAAGAATAGAAAAGAAGTAGAATAGAAAATCCCTTTATTGTGCCTCAGTGGGGAAAGCTTGGTGTCACAGCAGCAATTACATTCATTACAGGAGCAGAAGAGGAGAGTAAATAATAAGAATAAGCATGAAAACATGAAATAGAAATACTTAAAAGATTCAAAAGTTAAAAAATAAAAAGAAAGCTGTAAATATACACATTTTAATGAACACATTTCTTTAATAAGACATAACTGATGACTACCACTGATGTGTGCTTTATTTAAAATCGATTTGCTCGTGTGTAAGTTGGTCATTCCATATTCAGTGTTGCTGCAAAACTATGTTTGTTTCCAAAGAAAATGTTTCAGCCATACAGACCTGTAGGTGAAGGAATGGGTTGGGCCCGCGACTTTGTCCCAGTTTTTCATTTCGGCCCGGTGTGAATTTGAGTTCCACACGCCTGTCCTAGATCTTGTTCATCTAAATGTTTGTATCTTTTAAACTTGACAAACACGACTGTGTGGACTAAAGTTATGCTTGTAAATAAGAGTCCAAGCTAAAAAAGCTTGACGATGAAAAGCAGAGATTTTAAAGGGATTTTATCAATATCAAAATTACAGGTAAGGAAAAATTCAGTGCCAGCTAACTTAGAAAACATGAACACAGGTATAGTATTCCAAATGGAAGTAGGATTGGTAATTAGATTCTTTAACCAATTTATTTTGAATGTGTTATTTAAAGTGTTAAAATCTAACACATTAAGTCCTCCATTGACATATGAGTTCATAAGAACAGTTTTTAATGTAGTGTGTCCTATTTTTCCAGATAAAGTTGAAAAGTAACATATCAATCTCTTTTAAGAGTTTTTTTTATCAAGGTGCAATGCCAATGAAGCGTATGTAAGACGAGAAATGCCTTCTGCTTTAGTTATTAATACTCTGCCTTTTAACGACAGGTCTCTTAAGAGCCACTGATTAAGTCTGTGTTTGAGTTTCTCTTGAAAAGGATAGAAATTTTGAGTGATTCTACTTTCCTGATTTTTGGTTATTATGATACCTAAATAACGGACTTCTTGTTTTATTGGAATGTTACACATAGTTGTTTTCGAACAGTCTTTTATCGCCATAAGTTCACATTTAGGAATATTCAAGTACAATCCAGAAGCTTTGGAAAATATGGAGATTGTTTCAATAGCAATAGAGATTTGATGTTCATCTTTTAGGAATAATGTAGTGTCATCCTCTAACTGTGTTATGAGTAAATCTTTGCCAATTAGCGATATACCTTTTACATTGCTTGATTTCATATGGTTAGACAATAGTTGGGCAATTAAAAATAGGTACGGAGAAATGGGACAGCCTTGTCTTATCCCTATTTGTATGTTAAATCTGGGTGAAGTACCGTTTGTTAATTTAATACTGCTGTTACTGTTATGGTATAATGTTTTAATCGCTGTAGAGAAGTAAGAGCCAAAACCATGCTTATCCAGAGCTTGAAATATAAAATCATGCTCCACCGTATCGAAGGCCTTGTAGAAGTCTAAAAATAATATGAAACCATCGCAAATTATGAAGTCAGAATAATCCAGAATATCTAAAACCAATCTGATATTGTTAGTTATGTGTCTTTTGGGAATAAAGCCAGATTGTGTTTCATCAATAATAGAGTCAAGAACCATCTTAAGTCTGTTAGCTATAATTAGAGCAAATACTTTATAATCATTATCTGGTAAGCTAATTGGTCTCCAATTATCAATCAATAATAGGTCCTTATTAGGCTTCGGAATCAACGTAGTCAAACCTTGATTCATCGTAATGGGAAGCTGTTGGTTTCCTTTCTGCAAATACCTTAAGAAGAAAGGGAGACAACTCTTCAGAAAAAGTTTTATATAATTCAGCAGTAAGACCATCCGTACCTGGAGATTTATTATTTTTTAATAGCCCAATTGCAACTTTGACTTCTTCTAATGAGATGGGTTGATCACATAATATAGAGTCTTCTTGGCTGATAGATTTAACATTCAGCGATTCTAAGAGATGATCTGCAGCTTCCTGGGAAAATGTAGAGCTATAAAGTTCCTTATAGAAATGACTACAATATTTAGAGATTGGTCTGTAATCTTCTGTTATAACACCATTTATCATTAATTTGCTAACATTATTTATGTTTGAGTGTTTCTTTTCTAAACTGAAGAAATAATGGGAATTACGCTCACCTTCTTCAAGCCATTTAGATCTTGATCTGATAAAAGCTCCTTTTGCTTTGTCAGTGTATAAACGATCTAACTTATCTTGTAATTTAGCAAGGTTCAATTGATCCTCTTCGGTTAAAGTGTCAATTTGTTTATTAGATAACTGTGTGATTTGAGAGATTATATTTTCTTCCTCTAATCTTTTGGATTTTGCATTAAGGCTGCCAACCTTCCTTAAATATTTGCCAATTTCAAATTTTAATAATTCCCAGTTATTTCCATGCTTTAAATCTTCTTGAGCTATAGTCCAAAAGTTTGAGATCAGTTCTTTAAGCTCCTTTTTCACATCGTCCTTTTGTAATAATGAGCTGTTGAGTTTCCAGTATGTAAATTTAACAACAGAAGAATTAGATAGAGAATTTAGATTTATTTTAATATATATGGCTTTATGATCTGTTGCTGGAGAAGGCCGAGCTATAAACACAAACTTACGTCTTAAGAAACGTTATTTTAATAACGAAACTGCTAAATTTTTTCCAACAGTATAGATGTGTAGTGTATTTTGTCCGAGTGGGTTTGCCGTACTTTGACGTCATCGGCAGTCGAAGGACCCCGAGAGCCGATCCTTTTGGATCTTGCACCGACACCGTCTGCTCTCGTCTGTTTTCCAGGCGAGGCGCAGCTCAACTCGAACAAGGCCTCTGATACGAAGCTTGTAGTAGCCACGTGATTAAAATAGCTAGTCACGAGACAGAGAGATCAGGAAGAATGTGAAGCTGCAGCTTGAGTGCTCTTCACGCGCTCCGATAAACAGCTCAGGATGTTCCGTGTTTTGTGTCTGTTTGCTGCCTTCAAGGCGGGCATCCTGCTGGACTCCGGCATGCTCTTTCCCCAGGAGTCCTCCTCCAGGGAGGTGAAGGAGCTGAACGGGCTGTGGGCATTCAGGGCGGACAGATCCCCCACCAGGAACCAGGGCTTCCAGAGGGCTTGGTATAAGAGTCGCCTTGCAGAGGTAGGAAGGGGTTTGAACATTAATACAGTTTTACACTGTATGCAAATAATATATAACATTTGAAATGTATAAACGTATTTTAAAATTCATTACATTCATTAATCCATCCACTAATATTCAATAGACTGGTCCAGTGATTGACATTCCAGTTCCCTCCAGCTACAATGACGTCACACAAGATCCAAACCTGAGAGATTTCATTGGCTGGGTGTGGTATGAGCGAGAGGTGGTGGTGCCAGCCCGCTGGATCTCTGATGGGAAGACACGAGTGGTTCTCAGAGTGGAAAGTGCTCACTATTATTCGATAGTGGTGAGTTTGCCAGGCAGCTTTCTTAGTCATACAAGAGTTGAGATTTGATGCTGATCCCTGTAATCCATTAGTGGGTGAACGGAGTGAAGGTGACAGAGCATGAAGGCGGTCATCTTCCCTTCGAGGCTGACATAGATGGTTTACTCCGGGAGGACCCCACCACCACGACATGCAGGATCACCATTGCTGTCAACAACACCTTGGATCTGCACACTCTGCCTCCAGGCAGCATCCAGTACATGAAAGACCGCACAATGTAATTTTCTTCTGTATAGTCATCACTTTTCCATCATCAGCTTCCTTTTGTTTCCAGGTTACCATTCTCTAATCATTAGATATGTTAGGTGGAAAGGCTGATAGATAAATTCTGCTTGGTCTACAGGTATCCTGAGGGTTTTTTTGTGCAAAACACCAACTTTGATTTCTTTAACTACGCTGGGATACATCGTTCTGTACTCCTCTATACGACGCCTAAAGCTTATGTGGATGACATCACTGTTGTTACAGACTTCTTGGATAGTACTGGTAAATAAACACAATGCTGAGTACACGGACCACCTCTAGGACTAATAGTTTCGTTTGTTATGATTTGCTAAAATCATATTGTAGTAAACAAGTGCAGGACACTAGCCTGGCAAGCCAGACTAAATAAACGTATTATTTATGTATTATTTTTGCAAAGCAAGAATTTGGTCTAGTTCACTAGGCTAGCAGGACACAGCTCAAAGGTCAGAGTTCATGAGCCTCACGGCCTCTGTGGATCATTATGGCCCTCTTATAAGGAGGATCGGGATCAGACGGTCTACCCAGTATCTGCCTGTTAATACCCATTTTTTTATTTGTGCATTTTCTTTTGAATTTCAGGTCTTGTCAGATACAACGTGTCCATCCAAGGAGCAACTTTGGTGACTCTGAAAGTCACTTTGATAGACAAAGATGGCCACTGTGTGGTCTCCTCTAATGACACATCTGGAGTGCTTAAAGTGGTAGATGTGAAGCTGTGGTGGCCATATTTGATGCATGAAAATCCAGGTTATCTTTACTCTTTGGAGGTAAGGGAAAATTACTTTTTACATTAAATTGACTTGTCGATCTCTAACACATTCTAATTCTGAGTAAAATGGCACATTTCCCACCAAAACAATCACGTTTCATGCATGATTTTGATTATACAAACACATTTTTAGGCATGCAGTCATGCAATATCCTTAGTTGCAATTGATAATTCTGTCAATGTGTCACTCAGTCTTGAAAACAGGTGTCTCTTAAAACAGTGGTTCCCAACCTTTTTCCCAAGGGGCCCCGTTTTTTACCAGTAAAATTTTTGACGACCCCCTCCCATTCTCTCTTCCAGTACAAACAGTATTAAGAAATGATAAAATTGTTCAAGCACATTTTAATATGCTTTGATTCAATAGATAACAGTAATAGTAGGCTCCAGTACAGAACCAAGTCATTAACAAAACCAAACAGAGCATAATGTGCTTGACAGTTTGTATTACTTTTCTGAACACATTGTTTCTTGTAAACACTGATAAATCAATCATTCCTTCCAATAAACATTAAAAAATACACTGAGCAAAATGTACTTAAATGTGTATATTACTGTTTATACTAGATTATTTACTGTAAAGGCTGTGATTAATCAACCTGTCCCATCTTTAATGAACTTTTGACACTTGAAAATAAAACAGTGAGCTGAGCAAAATGTTCTTAAAAGTGTGTTACTTTTTCTGTACTAATTATTTCCTGTATTAATATCAGTAAACTTTTCACTCATGAAAAAAATGTGAGCAAAATGTAGGCTATTAACAAGTAATAAATGAAGTTTTAACCCCTTAAAGTGGAGAGGTCCGGGCGACCCACTGAGAGGCTTTGGCGCCCCCTTGTGGGGGTCGGGACCCCCAGGTTAGGAACCACTGTCTTAAAACATACCCATTTACCAAATGGTAAAACTCAAGCATTTTGACAATTTTCAAACCTGGAATTTTAATTAGAGCTGCACAATATTAGCAAAACAAGCCATTGCAATTGTATTTTAAAATACTGGATGATGTTCTTTCTTCTTGGGAGGGGCTCTGCTGGGGGGTCCCGCAGGGATCGATCCTTGGTCTTCTTTTGTTTGCAGTTTATCTGCTTCCTCTGGGGTGAGTCTTTCGTAAACATGGCCTATCGTTCCATCTCTATGCTGACGATTGCCAGATACTCTCCATTGTGTCAGGAGAAAGGTCACTATCCAGTCCTTTGTGTCCTGTCTTAACGAGGTAAAGTCTTGGCTAATGGCCAACTTTCTGCATCTGAAAGACAAAGCTAATTGTTTTTCACCCCCAATAGCAGGGCTGTGGGTCGTTATGTTGATCTTGGCCCTCTTTCTCCCTACTCAAAACCAGTTGTCACCAGTCTGGGAGTGAAAATTGACGCTGGACTTAAATTTGATGCTCACATCAACTCTGTGACCCGATCCAGTTTCTTTCACCTGAGACGCCTTGCAAAAATCGAGCCTATGCTGTCAAGAGCCCACCTGGAGCGGGTACTCCATGCTTTTGTAATCTCTAGACTTGATTACTGCAACTCTCTATATGCAGGCCTGGGTCAATCATCACTGCCACATCACATCACACCATCAGACCACATCAGTCCGGTTCAAGCCTCCATGCACTGGCTTCCGGTTTGTTATCATTCACACTTTAAACTCCTCGTCTTTCTTTACAATTTCTTCCAGGGTAGTGATCCCCCCTATCTGGCCACGCTCCTGAACAGACATTCCCCTTCACGCGCTCTGCACTCCTCTGACCCAGGCCTACTCGCTATCCTTCGTTCTAGGTGTCGTACTCGCGGGGACCGGGCTTTCTCAGTCCTAGCACCGTCACTCTGGAACCATTTGCCACCCTCAGTCAGGCTATCCCCATCTCTGCCAGTCTTTAAGAGTCACCTAAGAACCCACCTCCTCCGCTTGGCGTTCCCTGAACGTGTTTGAATTTGGCCTTTATTTATGTTGATTTTATTTCCCTGTTTTCATTGGTCTCTCTATCCCTTGTTTTACCCATTTGTTTTCTACTATATTGTTTTACCTTTTTTGTAATATTTGAATTGCTTTTATTTTCGATTTATTCATCATATTTAACTTTTCTCATGTACCATGTTCAGCGCCTTGGGCTTCCCGACAGGGTCGCGGAAGGCGCTTTATAAATAAAGCTTTGATTGATTGATTGATTGAAATATTGTGTCGAGTGTCGACAATAACTTCTTTTCAGAATCCTCTGATTTTTTTAATATATTTTTGGCCAGTTTCATGTCATCCACCTCTGTATTAGTGAGAATATTTTAGTTTGGCCCCAAATAATTATTTTGAATCTGCAGAACCTGATTTCATGGCACTTGGCCAAGATTTACTGAAGCCTTTTTCTGTACTGTTACTTTGCACATTGATACAATAGTTAAATAATAATTTTTTTACTTGTCGTAATATTAATCACTGTCTAAAGCGAAGCATGTTGTCGTACTATTTCCTTTAGGGTTATATTCTCTGAGAGCAGCAGCCATCTCTTATTCTGGTATTTACATTTTAACGTATAGGTGCGCCTAAATGCTGCTGATGGTACATCAACATATGAGGATGTTTATTCTCTACCAGTTGGCATCCGAACCGTCAAAGTCACCAAAAACCAGTTTCTCATCAACAATAAGCCGTTCTACTTCCACGGGGTCAATAAGCACGAGGACTCTGATGTGAGTTCCACTAGAGAAAAGTTTAATGTTCTTTATTTTAAATAACCTAATCATTTTTTATGTTTTCTACCTTGTGTTGTAGATTCGTGGTAAAGGCTTTGACTGGCCCCTAGTTGTCAAAGACTTCAACTTAATGAAGTGGTTAGGGGCCAACTCGTTCCGCACAAGCCACTACCCCTACGCTGAGGAGATCCTGCAGATGTGTGACCGCCATGGCATTGTGGTGATAGATGAGTCCCCAGGAGTGGGCATCAAAGACATGCAAGTCTTTCTTCTTGTGGGGGTTGTGGAAGGCAGAAGATTCCGGAAACAATCCCTAACCCTAGCCCTTTTTTATCACAGCTGCATCCAAAAATTTGTATTACCTGATGGCATTCACTGACATGAAAAAAACTTTGATAGTTTTAGCATTGTTAGCATTAGCTATTAGCTTTTTCAACTAGCCTAAGACCATAGAACGGCAAACATTACTGTGATATAGAGGATGAGTAAAAGAGACTGCAAAACCTCTTCTTAGGTGATATACTTGGATTGAGATTTTGGTCAGAATAATCCAGAAACAACGTGAATGGTAAATGTAAGAGGCTGGTATTAATGGGGATTCTTAGCACGAAATAAGATAAAAGATCACTTCCCTTAGAAGTCTGGATGTTTACACAGTCAGCTGGATAGGTGAGACTTTGATTTGGTTGGTCTTTGGAAGAGGACTGTGACCCCCAATAACCCAGACTCAGCACGGACGAACATTAAGCTGCATTCCACAGTGGCCTTATTTACTTCAGGAGCTCAAATCTATAGAAAATCTATGCCGATAAGTTCAGTTTCTTGTCAAGAAATGCCCAAAAAGGAAGATTTTCAGCTGTCAAGAGACCAAAATGCTACTGACAGGGTGAGAGTGTGTCTGAGATGTTTTGTTTTTATAGTCGCAGTTTTGAGAACGCCTCCTTGACCCACCACCTAGAAGTCATGGATGAGCTGGTACGCCGGGACAAGAACCACCCCTCTGTGGTCATGTGGTCTGTAGCCAATGAGCCAGCTGCAGAGATGCCACCTGCTGGGTTTTATTTCCAGTGAGTACTGTCGATCAAGGACGTAATTTTCACTTTAGAAGTGGGTGGGGGGGACACGGGTGGGGGTGGGGTGGGGGGTATCTTTACAGTATGTTCTAATGGGAAACCGGCTTCAACACAAACGGTTGTTTTCCGCTTGGTCCTAGAGCTCAACCAGTGTCAATTTAATATAGCGTAATAGTGTTTTTGGGTGGTAAAAAATGCAGGGGTCAAAACTTGACTTTGGAAAAAGTGTGGGGGGGACATGTCCCCCCTGCCCCCCCCCCCCCCCCCCCCCCCCCCCCCCCGCAAATTACGTCCATGCTGTCGATTCTTGTCTGAAGGTTTGATGATGGACTGAGGCTGAACAAATTTTCCTACAGAATGCTGATAAAACACACCAAGGTTCTGGACCCTACTCGGCCCGTCACCTTCATCACAGACAGCAACTATGCAAGGGATAAAGGAGTGAGTCTGTGCCAACAACATAGTGCATCAAAGCAGCATCATTTAAATGTGATCTCATTTAAATAAGATTATAGTAGTTTAGGTGTTCTTACTTCTAAAAACTACATCTGGTGAGGAGAGATACTCTTCTTCATTACACATGTTTATGTGTAGCAGCAGGAAGTGATGACTGGACTGCGTTTCTTGTTCTTTTGCTCGCTCACACTGATTGTGCACCACAAGCCACATTCTCCCACACACTTAATCTTCCACACGTCCATCAGCGTTTCTGAGGCGATGTGAAACTGCGTCTTGCCCAAGAGGTTAAACATGTGTGGAGGAAGTTGGGATCAAACCACCAACTTCCTGATTAGCAAATAAACTCAGGACTGAGCAATTTTTTAATCGAGTTCAATGCAGAAAAAGGTGACAGCAGCTGTGTGGGAGTTTTGTAGTCCTTAAAACTGACAGAGCATCTTTACGGAAGTAATATTTCATATTCCTGGGAAACGTGAATGCTGTTATTCCCTAGAGAAATTATTTCACCGTGTTTGAGAATATCTCCACAGCCATTTCTTTCCTTCTCACTTCTCCAGGCTCCCTATGTGGATGTCATCTGTGTAAACAGTTACTTCTCCTGGTACCATGACCCGGGCCATCTGGAGGTCATCCAGATCCAGCTCAACACCCAGTTTGAGAACTGGTATGGAAAGTACCAGAAACCCATCATCCAGAGTGAATATGGGGCAGACGCAGCGCCGGGGTTTCACAGTGTGAGTGTAGCACTAATTACCAACATGTCTGCTGCTACTATTACAATAAAACACAATAAATACACAAGTTTAGGTACAACACATTTATTAATTAGGATCTCATTGTGCTTGACCTTCGTTTTGTTCTCACTGTGCAGGATCCACCCGTCATGTTTACTGAGGAGTATCAGAAATTAGTCCTGCGTGATTACCACAGTGTGTTCGACCAGAAAAGGAAGCTATACGTCGTTGGGGAACTCATCTGGAACTTTGCTGACTTCATGACTACTCAAGGTGAAGCAGATCTGCTCAAAAATTCCTGTTTTATTAACCCTCTTATTACCAACCTGTCGCCGCTGACAGGATTGGACATGCGAACTTCTCATTACCATAATTCCTGAACCGTTCAAGATATCTGTAAAATTCCAAAAGTGCTGAAAAGATTAAAAATGGGACTTTTCGTGCATGTACAATGTATTATGGTAGCCACCGGGATTCCCTGTCTTGAGCTCAACGAATCACAACACAGATTTAGAGACGTGCTGAGTTTGTCATCCAAAATGCTCCGTTTTATAACTTTTGAGTGGCTGATCAGATTTTAAAAATTCCAACGGTTCCTAAAAGTACATAAAAGCAGCTTTTGGAAATATTGCTACGAGGGGAAATCCTGCTGTACAGCCTGATTGAAACGGAGCACAGCAGAGCACAGCGCCACGGTGAAAGCGGATAACGGAACGGGGAAGCTAATCAGCATAAAAAGCCGGCATAAAAATTTGGAAATGCCTCAAAGAAAATCAACACGATCTATTAGGTGTCCCAGAAGGCTTATATCTGAAGACGGTGACCACGAAGGACAGATCTCCGTTGAACCAGGGTATGAATGTTTGTTCAGTCTTTATTTTTAATTTTTTTATTTGAACAACCCTCAACTATTTGCTAATTGTAAGAGTCGGCTTCATTCCAGCATTATTTATCTTTTTACAATAAATAATTATTTTAGCTAAAACAAAAGTTTTTGGTATAGCAGTAAATTATTATAAGTAAATTATATTATTTGCAGGGACTCTGCCTGCAGCTGGAGAGAAACTGCTTCAAGGTCTACCACATCAAATAAAAATGTCTGAAAGTTTACAAAAATAAATGGTCTTAAAAACAGCTAAAAAAGATACCAAGGTTCACACTTTTTTAAGAATAGATGCAATATAGTTCAAAGTTTAAATTGTTCATTCCAAATTGTTTGCCCAAGTCATTTTGAAATTCATGTAAAAAAAATTCAAATCCGTTTTTTGCTTTTTTCACTTTTAAGCTGATTTTTTTAAAGGCTTTAATAGAAATAAATTCTAAATACAAACCGTGCACTGAAAGTTGAGGTTGTTCTGAAAAAAGGAGAAGAGTTACACACACTTTGCACTTTTTATTACAGTTTTACAGCCATGAGATTAAAAAAATACCAGGCGGCCCTGTTATAATTATGGTCATAAGAGGGTTAACGCTCTGTTGTAAATGTTGACACTAAAATCAGAAAAATTTCATAAATTATTATTTAAAGCTTTTTTTCCTCCTGTGTGTGTGCAGGTGTCACTCGTATGGTGGGGAATAAGAAGGGGATTTTTACTCGGCAAAGACAACCCAAAGAGGCAGCTTTTATTCTGAAGGAGAGGTACTGGAGACTAGCTAATGAGACCGGCCGGCTGCCTCTGTGGACCAAGTATCCCTGTTCACACTGACCCATACACTAGTGATCAGACTCAATATAAACTATGTGCCTTGCTATGAGATCAAATGTAGTATTTTAGAAAATCAGTTATTAAAATCATTTTCTTTTTAGTTAATTTACAATGGGGATACATCAATGTGAAAATGTGGGCCAATGTCGATGTCCGATATTAATATCCCTGTTAAACCAGATAACCAATATTTACCTATATTACATTGATATAGGAAGAAAATATCAATACACTGAAATATTGTGATATTTTGTATCAATTTGTTATTGAGAATGTATATGCAACCAGACCGATATCGTTAAGTTAAAAAAAAATGACTCAATGGCCATTAACGATGTTGATGCTGATATATCGTGCATCCCTAAATTACAACTATTCTGTAAAACATGACTGTTATTTTTACTTCCTTCAGTGGAATGGCATGAATAACTTTACAAAAAGAAAACATGGTTGCTAAAATGTTAATTTTTAAGTAAATAGATGTCAATCGTTCTGACCTCTTGTTGAAAGTGGTTGTTCAGTGCAAAATTTTAGTATATTTTTTTCTTTGTTTTTCACTCTAAAATTAATTGCTGAGCAATAAAATATGCAGAGTATTTTTAATCTTAATGTGAAAACTGAATCTGACCAAAACTCTTACGTTTTTTTTATAGGAAAATGAGCAAATAATACAGTATCTGATGTATTTCAAAGAATATAATAATAAAGACAATGATTCTTTACTTTTTTGTATTTTCTGCATTTTGCTTTTTCCTCATGTTAAACTCCACCAGTTTGATGAAGCTCCATTCACACATGTTGATATTACAATATATTGCGTAGCTCTATAGTAATCAAACGGTGTATTAGAATTTGGACATTATCTGCCAATGACTTTTATTAACACTGAATACACTTAAGTGTAAAACTATAGTGCTTATAAACAGCATTGGAAAAGTATTGGGAGATTTTTCCTGTTTTTACTTTTCTCACTTAAAACAATGATCAAGATTAGACAAAAAAATAATCTGAGTAAATCTAATTTTCTAACCTACTGAGGGAACAAAGCTATCAAAACAAATCTGGGCTTATGTGAAAATAATAGCTTTTTTGTTAAACCCTGAATTAACTAATTAAATACATTATTCGTAAAGCGGAGTTCAGTTTCACTAGCTACACCTAAAGAATTAAAACAATTCTAAATAACTTGTGTGACAACATGAAGATCTAAAAGATCTCAAAAAGCAACACAGCATGCCTCATTCTAAAGTGCTGCAGGCCTTACTTGGTTAAGGTCAAGAGATCATGGTTCAATAATAAATTAAAAAAAATGGCAAAGTTCCAAGGTCAAAACCTTATCTGAGTAAAAACCTGTCACACATTAGCGGAAAATAAACCTTGATAATCATAAAAGCCTGGGAAACTTTCTTTGGACTGACGAGACCAGAGTGGATCTTTCTGGAAGGTGTTCTGATTACATCTGGTGTAAAACCATTTCAGTCAAACATGGTGGTGGTAGTGTGATGGTTTGGGCTGCTTCACTGCTTTAGGACCCGTATGAACTCTGCAGCCTTTCCCACTTGGGCTAGTAGAAAGAAAATGTTTCTATTGGGGGTATATCAGCCCTCAGATAAAAGCAGCTCGGCAAACAGAAAAAAATATAAAACTTGAATTGAAATAACTAAATGACAGGAGGTTTCAGAGGGAATGTTTTAATGGTAGATCATTTCCACATAACGACCGTTCAAAATGTGCTCAAATGAATCTGGATTTATGGCGCCTTCCTTCCTACCATTCATGTAACACTTGTCCATGTAAGAAAATACAGCATTTTAAAATATTAAATATATTTGGCAATACAGAAACAATCCAGTTTTTCCTCCACAATGAAGTTTAATAGACTTTTTTTTTGCTGACACATTGATTTCTGTCTGTGCATCCCCTCAACTTTAGTCACGGTTTTTACTAAAATAACCCAGAATGTTAACAGTCGATACAAGGGCACGATGATGAAAAAAAGCGTATTACAATCTTATTTGAACAGAACGGGTTTCTAGCTAACAAACAGGTCTAGCTAGATGATCACAACAGGAGGAGTGTACAGTGGAGAACGCAAATAGAAAAGAACAGCCAGTGGTTTAACAGGGTGTTACTGGATTATAGATCTTTGGGAATTACCAATTTATGATCCCAGGAAAGCAAGCAGAAGTGCCTGTTACCATTCTCTGTTTTCCAAGGCTGTTACTGTTGCTTATCTTTGGCTCAAGGCCTAGTGATCAAACAGAAGGCACTTTTGTTGGCATTGGTGATGCAACTAACATGGCAGTTATCCCTCAGGGCCTCGGTAAGCATTGATGAGAACGTAGTATGGATCTCTGTGAAATCAAGAAACTCAATATTTAACATTTGTCCACCAAATCAATCTACACCAGCTTCATAGACCTGGGAGTAAAAGGTGGTTAATTAAACCTTGATCATGCCTGATTACACACACGCACACACACGTCGGTTCTGGGTTTGTTTTTTAGATTTTTCTTAAGAAAGAATAAGTCTGACGAAGCAAAACTAAAGATTGGTTTGAATGTTTTTGCTCCATTACAACCACTAATGTTAAAATTTAAAAAAACTAAATTCACACGATTTTCTTCTCCGTCGCAGCAAAGAATGCAGCTATAGAGACGATGAAAAATAGTATCCATCACAGTGACGGTGATGTTTCTATGACCAGTGTGAACTAATATCTCACCTGTTGTAGAGTGCGCAATGAACAACCTCAGTTTTGATAAACAGAGATTAGTCCTGAACAAACAGATGAGCTAATGGCTACTAGAATAACCATGCTTTGTGAAATTCATGACATACATTTTTTAGGATATTATTTGTGAAGATTGCTGATTTTTATTTATTCGTTTATTTTTTTAGATTAGAAATGTAGCTGGACAGAGCTAATCTGTTTCTTCAAACTGAGGCTGTTCACAGAGCTAACTTACAAAAGGTGAAATTGTTTGGTTTTCTAACAACCCCACTTCTGAATTTAATAACTACAAATACATGGCGTGCTTTGGAAACTAGTTAACTTACTCAAGTAGGAAACCGGGGATCAAAAAATGCCAAAACCTTTAAAAAAAAAAAAAAAAGAAAGAGGGCCTTAATTTTAATCCCAAGGCTGCTTATTGTAGTTTTTCACCAGAAGTGAATTATTGATCATCCAGACAAGATAAGTCTCATCGCCTCTCTTCTAAAACATGAAAAAACAACCAATTACCACAGTTGAGCCACCCCTTTACATATCTTGGAAGGAATGTCTAATGGTCAAGGATGAATTATGAATGAAAAGACTATCCTCCTCTAGAAGCAGCATGTTTTCCCCTTACACTGGTTTAGATTGGCCTGATTCTGGATGTGACACAATGGACATGGACATTTTTCAACAAAAATACAATGACTTTTATAGCAGATCTCACTTGTGCGGTTTGTGTCAACAAACCAGAAAAAAACCCATTGTTTTTTATGTTTTATTCACACCCTGAAGATGAACTGTAACTCAGCTGGATCAGATCGCTGCTACTGTTCAGTGGACATCACATGCAAAAGCCTGATGAGTGTTAGTGTAACCACAGGATGAGATGCCTCATCCACCGGGGCCTTCTGCTCCTGGAGCAGACAATCACAGTGTAGCAGCCTTTGGCTACCTCATGAGACCATTTCAGACAGGGAGAAACACTTCACTGGTATCTTTATTTACAAAATTGTGATCATAAAAATAAAGCCATGCCCCTGAAACGATAAAACAATGAGGAAATTATAAAATTGTGTAGACATTACCCACTCTACCCACCCAAATACACTTATTTAATTCACCTTAACACTCCTTTAGGCACAGAAGTCTCAATGGATTCCACGTGTGTGGTGGTCAGGAATGCATTTCACACACAACACACACACACAAACAGACAAACATGAGGGGTGACTTTATGCAAACTCTGTGAAAAGAAATTAAATCCACTTAGATCAAACCAGAACGTTGGAACAGAAGAACACATCCTCAAGACTCAGCCAATCACACGATCACCTCGTCTTCCACAGTTGTTTACATTTCTCTTTTAATCATTGTGTCGACACTAAATCACAATCTAGCCTGAAATATTGCTCAGCAGCTATTTACAGAATTGCAAAGAAATAAAAAAGACAAATCTGATCTACACACAATATCTCACATTGTCCCATGTTCATTTTAGTGGTCCTTGTCAAAAAAATAAAAACTACAAAGTGTAAACATGGAGAAAAAATATCAAAATGAATACTAGATGTTTTCAGTATCCCCCTACCCATCCTGCCTTATAGACTTTTCTGCAAACTGTCCGGTAACCAAATGCGTGGGGTTCTTTTTGTCTAATTTTAGAATATTTAGCTCAGAGTTTTAGTGCAGCAATAAAAAGTTTTACAATTTCAAGTACACCACTTTAAATGATCCGTTTCTTCCTCTGTCCTGCAATCCGTTTTGCTTCAGCTCGCATGGGAAACACACACACACACGCACACACACACGCACGCACACACACACACGGCCCCAAAGTAAAAGGTTAAACAAGGAGACAAAATAAGGGGGGGGAATCATCTTTCATTTACAAATCCTTCAGTGTTTGCAATCATTATTGAGATGTCAGGCCCCACATTTATGTTATTTTCTTCATTTTTTTTAACACACAGCAGAATAAACATTGTTTGGAAGCAAGGTCTCCTGGTGGCAAGTCAAATGTTCAGAGGTCACGTTCTTTTTGTTTTGTTGTCGTTGGTATAATTTTCCTGCCATTCTCGGCAGCTTAGTCCTGCTTGGCCTCAAGCTGCTGCTTCCAGGCCTCGTTCAAGTAAACCAGTCGCTTGTAGTTGAGAATAAAGAGAATGAAGTTCAACGCGTATGTGGTGATGCAGATGATGCAAACGTCCTCCAGGACAAAGTAGAGGATGTAGCCCAGGTAGAGTGAGCCCACCACTGACAAGATGGACGTCATCATGAGAAAAAGGGCGGCCATTGCACTGACAGTCATTCCTAATGGCAAGAAACACAAACTAAAGCTTAGCAGAGTTTAAAAAAGAAACACACACACAAGCATCTTGAGTCCGCTCAGCAGACTGGTCATGTTAGCCGCCACATGAGGTGGAAATAAATAAATAAATAAATAAAAATAAAAAAATCAACATCAAAGAAAATCTGAAAAATCCAAAGAATTTGCTGTTTGGTTTAACAAAAAGTAAAATAACAAAACAAAAGTTAATTTATTTTACGCTTCCTGCCAGTTCCACAATATCGCCTTTCAAACAGATATTTATGTCTGCAGTGCACAGAGCAGCTCACACAGCACAGGTAGGTTACTCTCTCAAAAGGTCTTTTTTTGGATCACACAGCTAATAGAGGAAAAACAAATGAGAGATTATAACGTTTATGGAGAGTAAACTTTTCATTTTTAATGTTTAATCAAAAGATCCTTAATCATGGATTACGACATTTAATTCCCTCGTTAAAATTAAATGAAATTTGGCTGTGTTCATGCTGTTATCACGAAACTTCAGTATTGAGGAAAAAAAAACACCAACCAGATGTTTAATTTAAACTGGTGCTGATGGGGAGATAAACTCAGCCTGCGAACTAGGGCTCCATTGATTACTCACCAGCACACTCATTCTTGCACATGTGTAAGTAATTCAGCCAATTCAAGCCTTAACTACTCAGCTTTACTTTCTGTCTGTTTGAGTCATGCCTCTTCTGATTGGTTGTTCAGATTGGGAGGTTTAGTGAGCAGAGGGGAGAGGTAATGCCACCGTTTGATAGATAACGGCAGTGATGAAATATAAACCTGTCAAATAATCAGGAAAAATAGAGAAAGGCATCATTGGTTGCAGATGTCCTATTGTGCATATTTGGGATAGTGTCCGTCAGATTAATATCCTGAAAATAACCTATGTTATAAATCTAACTGCTGGCATTTAAAATGGAAATTGTGGCTCTCTGTGGCAGTTTGGGCTAACTGGGCTACTGTGGTTTTAGTCAAATGAGTCATAGCTGCTGTGGGAAAAAGGACCTCTTGCTCCGTGCCACGGCCCAGGTAGCCACACGGGCCTGCAGGCCACCCTGCTGGCAAACATGTCAAACCAGCACAAGTGAATCAGCAGCACCATCTACGAGCCGAGAGGGAAGAAGAATGCCACCAAAGGAGGAGCAGACATTCAAGTTCAGACGAGTCACATATAAACAGAAATATTCACAACTCTTCATGGTGAATTAAAAAAACAACAACATACAGACAACAATGCTCATATTAAACTGCTCTCACAGATCTAAAAGTTGTGAATATGACTGTACTTGAATATAGCTGCAACACAAGATGGTCAAGAGCTAAGCGAGTGTTTGTTACTTGAGGAAAAAGCTGCTGGGATTAGCTGTTTGAATTTTCTGTAATGACACGTTACTTTGGCTGAGATCATCACATCTTACCTAGTAGGAGCTGAAAGGCATAAAAGAGGACCCCATAGACACTGTTGGGTTGGTTCAGGGCACTATCGTTTCCAAATATTGAGCCCAAGAGTCCAAATCCTCTACCCCACCTAAAGCAGAAAAACACGAGCAAAGACGATCGTTCAGAAACAAACCTGTCAAAACTCTACGAGCTGGAAAAGAGAAACAAGTGTGTGTGTGTGTGTGTGTGTGCGGGGGGGGGGGGGGGGGGGGGGGGGACTGTAAAATAAATAATAATTTTAAAAAAATCAATGCAAGATCAGATTGTTTATTCCCAGGAATTATTTCCAGGTTTTGCTTTTGAGGAAGTTACCCATTCTGTTCTTTATTAGCAGTTAGAGGAATTTGCAAAGGGAGGCATTGTTTGCTATAAAGCTTGCAAATTGCTTCAGGCAAGTATTAGATTTACGATACAGAACTAAAATAATTTTAAAAAAAACTTCTGACTTGGGTGTTTTTGGAGAAAGAAAAATTTGTTAAACTGGGCCACAATCTGCGTCACTACGGAGACTATTGATCACCAAATTATCATTCCATTATTCTTGCTCTCAAAGAAGTTGTTAAACGTCTGATTATTGCCATTCAATAGTGCATTAGAGCCAGTTTCTGTCAGTCCATTCAAAAGTAAATAACTCAAAAACTATTAATAGTCACTTAAAATAATAATCCCCGTGCTCGTCTTACTACAATGGGGAAACAAGCTTTTAGCAGATCTGCACCCTTTCTATGGAATTCCCTCCCAGTTGAACTTAGAAATATCACGTCTCTCCAGCTTTTTAAATCTAGGCTGAAAACACATTTATTTAAAGCTGCCTGTGTAATTGTAAGTGTAATTATGACCCAGTGGTGACGTTATGCTGGTTGTTTTTAATTTGTTGGTTTTATTGTGTTTTATTGGTGTGATTCATTGTGAAATAAAATGTATTCCGTCCATCCGTCCATTTTCATCCTCTTATGCGGAGTCAGGTCGAGGGTGCAGTACCCTAAGTCAAGAGGCCCAGACTTCCCTCTCCCCAGCCACTTGGGCCAGCTCCTCCGGGGGAAATCCCAAGACGTTCCCTGGCCAGGTGAGAAACATAGTCCCTCCACCGTGTCCTGGGTCTACCTTTAGGCCTCCTCCCGGTTGGACGTACCCGGAAAACCTCACCATGGAGGCGTCCAGGAGGCATCCTGACCAGATGGCCGAGGCACCTCAACTGGCTCCTCACGATGTATTATTGATGATAAAATGTATTATTATTATTATTAAAATCATATTCTAGTACACAACGTGCCTAGGACAGTGAAATGGTCAGAGTTCAATAAATCGTGAGACATAGTATCGTCGTGATAAGTACTGTATTGCCAGAATTTCACCAATACACATCCCTAAGTGTTCATAAACTTTAATATTTATCATTGCGGTAAAATAAATTGGTGTGAAAAATCCCAGAGCTAACATTTCACAACCTAAAAATCAAGGCCGATCAGGTTGTGAGAAAGTTCACTCAATTATGAAACGTAGTGAGTCCTAGACAGTTTGCATTCCAGTGAGTTGGTGAGCATGTGTTTGTTAAGACTTCATAAACAGGTGCGCAGATAGGGTGGGGGACGGGGGGGATCTGTCCCCCCACATTCAGATTGGCCCCGATCCGTCCCCCGCACGAAGGCCAGAAAGAAGACAAAATCGGAGGTTATAAGCGCTTGAAGCTCCTTTTTCCAATTACATTGAATGCAGCATGACGTAAACAAACACTAACTCCAGAGGCGCCAAAGTGGTTGCTGCTAGGATGCAGGATGAAGCGAAAAAGACAACAATTACTGCGTACTTAAAAAAGACCAACAGTGTAAGTAGGTGGAACCGATCTGTCTGTTTATGCGTGTTGGTTCTAGTTTCAGTACGTTGTTGTCAGTGTTGGGACTTACTCGTTAAAAGCGCCAAAGCCTCATTGCTGACTTTAACAGTCTCATCTACAAATATGATCCCTCATGAAGTTACTACTTTACATCAGAAGATAGTGGAGATGTGCAATCTTCAGGCTGAGCAAAGTTTTGGAGTTTTTTGAGCTTGAAAATCGCCTCCCGCCGTGACGCTCCCAGTCGGAGAGAGGAGGAGATGCGCGCAGCATGAAGAGCGCAAATATGAGATAAAACGTATAATTGCCGGCAGGTCTGGTCTTTGTTGACTGATCACTTTGTCTGGTCATGACTGACTCTGATTATGAAGCAGAATATTGACTGATGAAGAAATTCACTCATCCAGCCGGGAAGATTGACGCTGCTGCAGCATCAGACAGCTGGTGCTGCACGAAAGGTGTGTGGAGTTTACAAGCTCCAACCATTGGGTTTGATGTTGGTTTAACCTTCTTTCGGACGTGATGGATGTAGAAATGATGGTAAAAATACCGCTAACGTGACAAACGTAGCGACAATGTAAAAAAAAAAAAGCCGTAAAAAGGGGCAGATGCCGATGCGTTAGATATGGAAGTCAAAGTGTGCCACATATTCATAAAAAAAGGTAAAATATAAAATTTAAAAAGAGCTTTATATATTTAAACTTTCCAAATATAATGAAAATTTCTAAATAATGTAAAAATAAGAAGGAACATCTGTTGGTCAGAAGCTGAAAAGTTTGGGAACCACTGCTTTAAGTGACAAGTGAATATTGATTTTTAAATATATTTTATGTGCAGTTTTTTAGGGCTTTTATGTTTTCTGTAAAGATTGGTATGCTGAAACTCATTTAATGTTTTGCATAAAGCATGAGGTTTTGGTTAGTAATCGATTGGGTGAATAACAAATGACTGAATTGGATAGTGTTGATCAGGCAGTGCTTTGTTGTCAGCGTTCCACTGCATAATGGCTTCTAAAGGTTGGTTTATGTTTGACGCGTCTGCGAGGTTCGCAGGGCTCTGCGCGGCGAAATTGCGTCATTTTAACAACCACGCCTCTCCACCGCGCCTCCGCACGGCCCAAACTTTCCGCAACGCGCACCTAGGAAATTTTCTAACCACACGGACGGTCGGACACGGAGAAACATGGCGGACCGGCAAGAACTAGTATGGCAGAGGTTCGTAAATACAGACATTTGCATGATTCAGCTCTCAAAGACCACCGTGATCAACATGTTAATAATTCTTGGAGAGAAATAGCTTGCACTGTCGGAAAAGATGAGGATGCTGTTAAAAAATGCTGGAATGCCATGTTGTAAACAACAGTAATTTCTACTTCTACTATGGTGTAGTGTTGGATGCATGCTGTAGAGCTCCATGCTGCCCCCTACAGTTTGGGAGAATATTGGCTCACCGCAGAGACAAGCCGCATGAACCATAAACGCTGCAAGTTGTGAAGCGCGTTCCATCCACGAGCCGCATCACCAAGCGGAAAGTGAATGCGTCAAGCATAAACCAAGCTTAACACGTATATAATAGTGTTAGTTTTTTTGTAAACCATTGGAGGAAATTACGTAAACACAAACTGACTGAGCTCTAGTTAAGGCTCTTGCAATGGTTTGTGTTTGTGTACGTGCGTTAGAGGTGTGAATCTTCACTTGTCTCCAGATTCGATTACGATTATTGGGTAAACGATTCAATTCGATTCGATATCCCGATGCATCACGATTATTTCATATTGATTTGTTTTCATCGATAAATAGAAGTCAGATAATTGCTTTTTATTTTTTATTAAAAACGTAATTGACAACCTGCCGTCCCTCAAAAGCTCTCCATTCACAACAGGTTAGGACAAAACATTTTTAACATTTAAGAAGATTTAACAAAGTAAAACAATCTGTTTTCTCATTCAACACCACACTTCAGGCTGAGAAAAACACGCTTTGCAAAAACTCGCAAAATCTGAAAAAATACTGAAAACCAATAAGGACACATAATGTAAGAATAAAATACATAATGGGTTCATATATGAGTGTTTAATGTTTCTGAGCAGCTTTAGAGTCAGATGTTTATGCCGTGAAGGGTGTCAGAAATAACACCAAATGAAATGTTTGACTTAGTCGTCGTCGTCGTCTTCCTCCGCTTATCTGGGTCCGGGTCGCGGGGGCAGCATCCCAACTAGGGAGCTCCAGCCCGTCCTCTCCCCGGCCACCTCCAACAGCTCATCCGGCAGCACCCCAAGGCGTTCCCGGACCAGATTGGAGATGTAACCTCTCCAAAGTGTCCTGGGTCGACCCGGGGGCCTCCTGCCGGCAGGACATGCCCGAAACACCTCCCCAGGGAGGCGTCCAGGAGGCATCCTGACCAGATGCCCAAACCACCTCAACTGACTCCTTTCGATCAAGAGGAGCAGCGGTCCTACTCCGAGTCCCTCCCGAATGTCCGAGCTCCTCACCCTATCTCTAAGGCTGAGCCCGGCCACCCTACGGAGGAAACTCATTTCGGCCGCTTGTATCCGCGATCTCGTTCTTTCGGTCATTACCCAAAGCTCATGACCATAGGTGAGGATTGGGACGTAGATCGACCGGTAAATCGAGAGCCTGGCTTTCTGGCTCAGCTCCCTCTTCACCACGACAGATCAGATCTGCGTCCGCATCACTGCAGACGCCGAACCAATCCGCCTGTCGATCTCCCGATCCCTCCTACCCTCACTCGTGAACAAGACCCCGAGATACTTAAACTCCTCCACTTGAGGTAGGACCTCTCGCCCGACCCGGAGGTGGCAAGCCACCCTTTTCCGGTCGAGAACCATGGTCTCAGATTTGGAGGTGCTGATCCTCATCCCAGCCGCTTCACACTCGGCCGCGAATCTACCCAGCAAGAGCTGAAGGTCAGAGCTGGATGACTTAGTTTGTTATTTTATTTGAACCCAGTGGTTCATTTCTGAAATGTTTGAGAACGAATCAAGTTCTGTTTGATGCAGAAAATAATAAAACATAAAACAAATTCTAAACTTCCAATAATATTTAAGATGTGTGTTTTTTTTCTTTCTGATAATAACACCAGCAGAAGGCTGTGGGCTGGATTAGGATTAAATTACCCAGCTGATGTATCTCCTTCACTAACCAGCTAACTACAGACGTTTCCACTAACCTGTCCTGTGTAACCCTCACCCTTTAACCCTCATGTCCATGCTGTCTCTGAGGAGAAGATAGGAGACAGACCTCCTGTAACTTAAAATGAATCAAAGCTTCCTCCCAGTTTCTCTTTAAGCTGAATTTAACATCAGTTTATAATCATGAAAAAAAAGAATAAAGTGGAACAAAAACTTCTATCTTCTATTTTTCTCTCCTTTTAACTTCTCTGTGTCCCTAAATAAAAGATGATTATGCTGCAGCCACAGTCACTCTCCCCTGCCACCTCCCCAAGACCGGATCTCCCGACATCACAACACTCGGTCTGACTGAGCACTTGAAATAATAATTAAATTATGAAAATAATAATGCGTGTTTGGAGGAGCGTCTGCCGATCCTCTCTCTTGTGTGAACAGACAATGTCGCTCTCTCAGTTGCTGTGCGAGCAAGCGGAGCGCGCCACTCGACAACCCGCTAAATTAACTTAATTCACGGCCCAAATCCAACAGAACCAGTCGGGCTGAATCGGTTCCGGTTCGGTATCAGGTTACAACTCCAGCGCTCAGCCCTGCTGTACCACATAAAGGCGAAACGATACTTGGTAAATGCGGAGGACGCTCACTCTGACAGCTTTGGATGCTGAGCTGGTGCCGCCATTAAAAAAACAAAAATACATTCCACTATAATCGATTATGGCATACTCTTCTACGATGCAGAATCGTTTATGTCTGCATCCCGATGCATCGATTATTTGATTATTTTCCTCAGCTCTAACGTGCATGCACGTGTGTATGTATTTGGGGGAAGGTACATTGGTACTTTGTCCCCCCCAGTTTGAAAATCCTATCTGCGCCCCTGTTCATAAATGATGTCTTCATTCATTTACATATCAGTTGCCACAGCAAAACCTTGTCTGACAGCTAAGCACCTTTGCCTGAGTGGTCTTTATGCAGTAATCTTAACTTGAAGCAGAGATTGCACGTGACATTTTGAGAAAAGTCAACTCATACCTGAAAGAAAACATGTTGTGGCTGCAGATGTACGTAACACAGTAACATCTGATTCCAGTACTGCTCCGTTGATGTGTTTAATGTCCCTGTGAGTGAGTGTTTGTCTTTTAATCGTACTGATAGCAGGAAATGTCAGGAGGAATTCTAGCGACAACTGCACACAGACATCCATCAATAACAAAACTTAACAAGAAAATCCACATTTTCTTCAGCTGAGTATATCTAAACGTGCACAACAACGTAGCTCGTCAGTACAAAGTACCAGCTACAGTGCTAAACCTGGCGTTACACATGTGTAAACCAGTTGGGTCTGATACATCTGCCGAACTTCAACTCATAGATTAGTTATTTGACGTGTCTCCGGTGATAGCAAGCCGCCCAGAAGTCTGCTAACGGTTAGCAAAGTTAGCTCCGCCAAGCTAGACTGCTAATGCTAGTAAAGGCAGTTAACTTGGTTCAGACAGGGTTTTCTAGTCACTAAAGAGCTTTTAGCAATTCTGCATTTAAATTGTTAAAGAGTTAGCCCGGGGTTCAGGGCAGCCTTGGCTATATGACAATTAAAACCACACAGCCCTTCCCAGATTGCCATAACAGCAGGCGGCTTCATGGAGCGCCACAGACAGAAGGCGCTCTTTGCTCAATTCAAATTACCTTGAGCTGAACACTTTTGAACAGCTGATGGAGCTGCTGACGTCGCACAAGGCCGTATAAGTCGGGTCTCGTCCCTTTTCCCTCTCGACGTGAAAAGCATACAGAGAGATTAGGATGCCCAGGAGGCAAACGAGAAGCCTAGCTATTCTTTCCCACCTAGGGGTGGACACTCTCAGGACGGGCGCCGCCATCACTCTGTAGCCTAGCTGGAGACACGCAAACAGACGCAGCGAGTCGGCCTGTAAAGACAGAGCTGCGACGTGAAAAAGCGTCAGGACGTGATACAGCGTTGGGGGCGGGGATCTGAGGGCATCATCAAAACATCGGCATATGTGCTTGTGTCAAAACTTTTTTTGATCTGTCAAAATGGTAAAATGTGTCAAAATGTTTTATTTCTCTAGTTTATTTTCAAATCTCATTTAGCACTACAACTATCTTTTTTGTTGCTGTTGTTGCTCTGAGGTCCTGGTATTCATTGTTCTTTTGTTCGGTTTTTGCATCAATAAAAAAAACATGTCTTTATAACTGAAATTCATTCAGAATCCCCGAGATCAAGCCCAACTTTGCTTTCCTATTTCTCAACACTGCAGTAGTTGGATATTTGGTGATACTGTTGACATATCATTGTTGTAGTCGAATAAAACACTTATAAATGGCTTTTTTTTTGCCATTTATCTTTACCTTTATCCAACTAATTAAAGCTAAAGTCATACTAACCCGCCAAAGGACTGGTAGTCCAAAAATTCCTAATAGTTTACACACCAGTAGACCAATCCAGCAGTGTCAATTTAAACAAGTTTATGTAAGCATGAACATGCTTAAAACTAAATAGAATAGAAAATACATTTTCTATATTGTCCCTCAGAGGGGTAATTTTGTTGTAACAGCAGCAAAGCAGATTGACAGTAGCCTACATGTTTACACACAGCTTCACACAGTTTACATGTCAACTAGTAGCCGAACTGTCAAAAGTGCTTGAGTCGGCTAGCGTTATTAAACATTTTAACAAATATAATAAAGTTAAACCTAAAATGCCCACTAACTATATTATTAACTTACAGTCGTCTACCCGTCAGCGGTTTAAGGATTACCAGCTAATTAGTTAGCTTTCTAGGCACACTAGTCGAGTAGCTGACAGTACTTAGCTGAACTAATTAGCTAGTAAGGTTTAAAAAAAAGTGTCAGCAAGTTGACTAGAACAGTTTAGCCCTAATGTTTACGACAAGATGAGTATTTTAACCTGCACTAGTTAACGTCAAAATAATGTCAACTAGTGATATTTTCCGGCTTGACGTTTAGACTAGATTAGTAAACTAACAAATGATTAACAGAATATTTAGGGCTTATGAAGCAGACATGTTTGAAAACACCCTACTTCCTGAAAATAGCGGCAAGTGACCACGTGACCTTGTGTATATAAACACAAAATTACGTCATCTGTTTACTCGCTTCGAGGTCCCTCTGTAAAGAGCTGCAGTGTTCCGTCTCCAAATGGCGACAGACACAGAAAAACAGGCTTCTTTCGAAGAAGCGTATTACGACCAGTACGATTATTACAATCTGCGTGAATATCCGGGCCATGCGGGAGGCAAAGGCAGGTCCAAGAAGGAGATCGAGCTGAACACCAATCGCCATTGCCCCGCTGGACACGAGAGGAAGATAGCTGAAAAATACCACAATAGCCAGATGAAACGCAGAAGAACCAAGAGCGCTTCCTCCTGAAGGCCTTTCTTAATGTTTACAGGTAAGAACCACTTTGCTTTTTAGAGTAAAAACTTGCTTTTTAGAGCACTCACCCCTGCTTATGAATATAGGGCTTTTATGTGGAAAGATCGGCCTTTTATTTGGGTTAGAAAACATTGTCTACTATGATGGCAGTCTTTGCTTAAAAACTAATGTCTAATTTTTCTTCCAGCTTACTCTAATAAATACAAATATAATACATTAAAGTTAATAAGTTAACATTTGATTTTGCCAACTGACGATGCATCTTTATTTTACATTTATTTGCAGATCCAGACACATGTTGGTATTCTGGTTTTGATCACGGCCGAGCGTCTGCTGCTGATCCAGTGAATGGAGGTCGTCGTGACCACGAGGACACCCCTGTTCATTAGTCACGAGACAGGACTCCATTCCCAGCCTATCCTGTAACACCACCCACCCCTCTCATGTTGCAGTTGTGCAAGAATAGTTTGTGTTGAGCTAAATGGGTCAATGGTGTGTCTATGTGCTTTGTAGATTATATATATTATATATTATATATATATATACCAACTATGATTATGTCTGTGGGTGCAGAAGATATGCTGTATTTTAATTCAATAAAGCATCTTAAAAAATCTTTGGTGACTTTTTTCCTGTTGATGGTATTTATTGGTGTCTTTTCCGAAACAGAGACAGCTAAATATACCAAGAGGATAGGTATAATTTTTTATCAAACAAATTAAATGGTTAGGTAAACATTAGCTACACGGAAAATAGAGGCTTTTCTTTTGGAAACAACAGCCCCTGAACCGGAAGCAGTTCTTGTGGCATGTAACGTCCTCTTTCTACAGTCAGTTCTGAGGTTCTGAAGCACGCGGAGTCTTCTCGAGCCACAACGATGCAGCTTTGTAATGTGTGCTGCGAGCAGACACCAAAATACAGATGTCCAACCTGTGAAATAAGATAGTAAGTAAACGAGCGCTGAATATCTACGACTACCTAACCGGATGTTACTTTCTTAGCAGCGTTACGAAAGATAAAGTTTACCCGATAATTACTTAACCAGTTAACAATTGTTACTTTACCGTGTTGTCACATTAAAAACGTGTTACCGCCATGTGTGAAGGAAACTCGTTTGGGTAAAAAAAAACTTTGCAAGAGACTTGAGAAGCGCGTTTGAATCTATATGTATGTCGATGGTTTGAATGCACGTTTATTCACTAATCGAAATTCAAAAGTTACAGATTCATATCCATTTACCTTTTTTGTATTTATTTCCTACGATAGGCAGTCAGGTTTAGAATGATCGTCCTCGAAAATATCTGGGAGGTTAAAATTTGGAGATTGGTATCCGGATCTGTTTTTTTTTTTTTTTTCCCCATTCACATCTATTAAACCTGGGAATAACCATAAAAACTCACCGTTTCTCCTAGTGATGTACCAATATGAAATTTTGGGGCCGATATCCGATAATAAGATCACTGTTATGGCCGATAACCAATATTTCCGATACTGATATACTGGCATTAATGCTTTTAAAATCAGAAGATTTTGTATAGAATTTAATTATTAAAGCTGAATTTACGTCATTATTTACACACAACACACACATTTACGGTTCAGAGATTATTTCATTCACTGTTCAATTACACCACACCCACTGAAACAGGCAAAAAAAATGGAGACGAGATGGAAAAAATATAGGTTAATATCAGTTTTATTTATATGTTAAAAAATGACTAATATCGGCAGATACAATATTGATTTCAATATATTGTCCATCCCTAGTTTCTCCAGATGACTTACTGCTGTAATCCTCCTGTCTTTTAGTTGCTCACTTGGCTGTTACAAGAAGCATAAAGGTGAGTGAGATTTGGTCTCAGGATTGTGATCATGTGTAAATTTACTTCTAAGGAATAATTTACTCTGATTTTCTGTTAATAGACACCTGCCTTCCTGTTGTGAAGCCTTGCTCATATAATCCCGAAGATGCTGTCTGCTCTGGTATTGTCAGGAATTTTAGATTTCATATTCTCATATTTAAAAAAAAAATGGCATACAATGAGATAAACAACATGAATTGGTTAAAAATGTTTTTCATTCCTTCATAGGAATAGTGTGGAGTTTACTATTTTAAATTTATCTGATTTGAATCTCCTTGTTTTTCGTTTATGTTCCACCAGAGGCATGTGGTGTCGAGGATCTGCTGCATGAAGACGACATAATTGACAAAGTGCCACTGCAAAGGCTCCAGCTGTTGGGTAATAAATCTAGCTTTACATAACTGACTAGCAGCAAGCAGCATAGTGGTTTATTGAAGCCACTTTAGATAAAATTCATCAATTATGGCCGAGGTTAGTGGTAATATGGAGAAATTAGTGTCCGGTGTCATTTTTTCTTTTACTAGAGGACAAGTAGGCAAGTTTAAGAGTCCAGAAGCAACACTGCCCTCAGTATATAATGGTCATTGAATGCAACAGTCTTTTTTGCAAGCTTATCATTTATATTCAGATGTATTATTTAACTTTACAACTTTATCTGCAAATTTGAGTGTTGCTGTTTTTTGTTTTCTGGAAGAGTTTACCATTTTAATCCTGGAATTTTAGGAAAAAAAATATTTTTGTTCCATTCACATTTTATTCACATAAAGCTTTAATGATGCAAATTTAATACTCTTGATGATCTCAGATTTTACCTCTAAGTATTGTAAAATATGATATGGCTACTTACTTCCTCACCGTACTACTGAATTTATTCTACAGGTCAGTCCAATGAGCTAAGAGATCTTCTTTGCAACCCCCATCTGAGACAGTTACTGCGTTCCGTAGATGGCGCTCAGAGGAAAGACGAAGCGATGAAAGCCGCCATGCAGGAGCCTCTTTTTGTGGAGTTTTCAGATCAGTGTTTAAAACTAGTTGAAGATGGAGCCACTGCATTAACTAACCCCCAGTAATGACTGATGTATAAAACTGCATTTTTTTTTTTACCACACGTGCCATGCATGTTCTAGGACTACTCCCACACCTGTTTGTACATAATGTTCTAATAAACTATTTTTTCTGAATCAAGACTAAATTAAAGCTGGAAATAAATGTACTTTATTTTTTTCATTTTCCCAAAACAGTTTAAAATATTATATCCTTGCATTGATAAGCCATAACATTAAAACCAGGTAGGTGAATAACAAACAGGGCAGTTGTCCTAAAGCACCACAAAAGGTTCCAGTAGAGTAACATTTCCCAGATCCTAACCTATTTAAGAATCTGCAGGATGTGTTTAATCTACTTAGACACAGTTTACATAAGACTAGCCTCAAAGCTATACAAATGGATCCTGACTAAAAAAAAAAAAAAAAACAGCTGGTTGGTTTACACATTCCAAAGTGTACCATCACAATGATGCTGGTGCATTTACACAAATGTACAGCAGAATAAAAATAAATTACACATGCACCAAGGCTGACTAAAGGTTATGTGATGATCTGAACAAGGAGAAGAAATCTATTAGTATATTGCACAATTTAAAAAAAAGCTCATCAAAACTAAAATCCCAAGTTTTTTGTCAAAAATATTTGGTATGTTTTTTTCATTCTCCATTTATGCAAATACACTGTTAACATGCTGTAGTTTTTACTAAATTATGTTTAGAGCAGCAATTAAAATATGTTCCATAATTTCCCTGTTGCCATTTTGCAGGATGAACAGTAATGTGCTTTTCCGTGTGCAATAACTGATTTGCAAGTGCAATGCTTGCAGACTTGTGTTCCGCAGCAAAAACGAGCAGTAAATGTTATTGAGAGCATGAACATCTACACTTACATTTTGCCATTTAAATAATGAATCTGATACATATATACACTGGAAGCTCAAAGATTTCAGAAGAGGCACTTCCATCGGCCCAGTGCAACAGGCAGACGTTCTAAAGTGGCAGCGATGATACAAAAGTTTTGTTAAAGTGCTCTTCGTGTGGGACATATTATTATGGCTGTAATGTAATCTCACATGCACAGATGAGTTTTAATTAGCTAAAACTGCATCATCTCTCATGATGTTCCACACAGTTTTCCAAAGATGTTGAAGTTTAGCGTTCATAATTCGATGCATAAAACTCCTGGTTTGTTTCTTGTGTCAGCTATAAAATAAAAACAGCTGCTTTTATTTCATCCCTGACTTACAAAGTTTTTTCCAGCAGGATCGCGTTGAAACCTGTCACATCACTCTTCAGGTCTGGCTGCTTGTCAGCATACAGAAGAGGAGACCGCTGATAGTGGAGTTTTACAGATCCCTGTGTGGGAAAATAATAATAATCACAGCAAAACACTGAGCTGAATAAAACCTTAACGCCTGAGTGTCCAAGTGTGCTCACCTTGGGTTGGGCACGTATGGAGGCGAGACCCTGCTTATACTGGTTGGTCTCCACCTTATACTCTCCTCTCCTGGACGGAAAGTTGAGTGACGCCATCACAGACATAACCTTCTGGAAGCCCGTGGTTGTCAAAGAAACTGCGATGGACGGAGCTGAGGCCAGAGCCAGGCCCATAGGCCACCCCTGCACTGTCACCGGGTCCTGGATGCTGGACAGCTGCACTGAGCCACGCTCCCTGACAATAGGGTTCAGTTCTAGGATGTCCTCGGATGCAAGGTCCTTGGCATCATCAAGTTCTGACTCAGCCAAAGATTTCAACAGAGCCTGCCGCAGAAATAAAATTATATTTAAGCTGGAAATCATAATGCAGAATGTTCAAATTTATTCTGCATCTCACCCTCCACTTCTTCCAGGTTTTCTGGATCACTGCAGCAGCTCTGTTCCATCTCTGGATCTGCTTCCTGACCAGCCAGGACCTCACAGCTGCAGGCAGTAATACTCTAAACTGTTAACATCTCACGGCGCATTAAAAGGATTTTTCTGTTATTCTGAAATGTGTTTCAGTGTAAAAGCTATGAATAATTAAAGAGGGCTTCCTGACTGGCCTCTGTTCTGAGAAATAGTGTTTAAGTGACTCTGGTGCATCCAGGGGTCAAGTCTGGCAGAAATGTTTCAAATAATTTCACTAAAATATCCGTGGAATGCGTAACCGATGACGCAAATGTTTACAAAAAATGTTTCAGAGCTGAGAGGTTTTATGAAGGCAGCAATCTGCTTTAGTTTTGGCTGCACTTTGACTAGTAGTTAGCTCATCATTCCTAAAAGATAGCCACACCATTTCTCGTAACAGAGGCTGTTCAGAAACTGAATTATAACAAGTAAACACAATCAAACATGCAAAATTGGCTGAAAAATAAAACATTTGCCACCGAAGTAATGTGTTTCAGACATGACGGGATGGATTGTTTCAGAACAGGTAATCTGATTACTAACAGTGTGTACAGACACCACCAGCTGCTTCCTGTTGGCCAGACATCAGGGTAAAGCCAGCAGACACCCCGTGGGATGAAGGCCACAGAGCTTTGCTACCTGTACTCAGAAATATCTGACCGCAGTATAAACTCTTTACCTGCTTGGATTAAAGTGACAGACTGTCGGCGGACGAGGCGTTTACGGCGCTGGTACCGCAGCCAGCAGCACTGAATGGAGAAAGCGCACTGGGACAGGATCTTCTTCCTCTGATCTTCCAACAGATCTAGCTGTGAAATGAGTCAACAGACCAACTTAAAGTAGTGAGACACATATGATCCAAAAACTGAACAGGATCAAATAAGCAATCAGTTACTGACTGTCGTCTGGGTGAGAAAAACTTTGGTCCTCCCACAATGCACCAAAGAACTGCGACCCTCACAAAGCCGATGATGATGTAACACAACACTGAGAACTTTCTCCACTTCCTGCTGAAGGACGTTGTTCAGATCAGACTCTGGATCTAAGAATTAACCAGAAGTTATAACTTATGATATAAAAAAATAAAAAGCACCTGAAGATTCAGACATCATGACATTTTATAACGATTGTGAAGTGAAGCAATAATGGCAGGAGAAATTACTAAAACAGCACAACATCTACAACAAACAGCAAATTCAAAGCATTACATACATGCAAAAGAGATTAAAAGTTAGATTTGGACATGTAGCAACATTAAAAACATGAGAGGAAAGGGCAGTCATGATTTCAGCAAGTAAAGTCCAACTACCCGTGTAAACATTAGGAACCCTAGAAGCAAGGAAAAATGTTTACTCCCTACCTTTCTATTAGTCTGAGTTAAGGAACTAAAAACTGAAAAAATGTACTAATCTCAGTTTTGCATGTACAGAAACCCATATCTTTGATGAAAAAGAGACGTAAAACGGCCATCTGACAAAATATGTTTAAATAATCTCCAAATTTGGGACATCTGATTAATCTAAATACACAATGATACATCATTATTAACCCATTCACTGCCAATGACGACTAAAGTGGGCATCGGAACGAGCCCCCACACTGTGAGAACAAACATCTCAGCCCTAAAGGCGATCTTCATCCGCATACGTCACACGTCACGTGATCAGGAAGCAGAAAATCCATGTGTTAGATCAATTTGGACCGCTGCTGTAAAAAACCGTGAGGCGCGAACCGGAAAAGCTTCTGCCGATCACAATTCAACAACAGATTATGAAAGAACGGATAACGCTCGAAACCAGGGGCGGCGTTAGGCCCAGCTACTTGGGCTGAAGTCCCGGATGTTTAATGAAAAGCCCCGGATCTAAATCGCGGAAGTAACATGCAGTACCAAAGTCCAACAGAGAGGGAGCAGCTGGCAGTAGTTTGTATACAGCTTGCCTGAGCCTCCACCACTGAAGAAGAAGCCCTTCAGCAGCCGGCTTCTTCTGCAGTCTCTGGCTGAAACACATGAGTGAAGATGGACATAAGGACGTTTTTTAGACCAAAAGTACCACGACAGAACCCCAGCTTTGATGAGACTGGTGTTGACTCAGGTTTGTGAGTCTTATTTGAAAATATTTGTTGTGCTGCTGGTTTGCCTAAAGTTAGCTTATTATCAGGTAAAGTTGATGGAGAAAGAAAGGGAATATTTACTATCATCTCACACTAAACACTAACAGGAACAATACTCTGCCCTGAAAATGCTTCATATGTAGCTTCAGATTAAAAATCATGTGGTACAAGACAAATATGTTGACTAGTGCGTGTCATGTGTGTGTGTGTGTGTGTGTGTGTTAAGCCCGGGATCTTCTTCTGTCCTAAATCCGCCCCTGCTCAAAACGTACAGATTCATCCTGATGTAAGAGGTGAGTCTCCGCTTTGTTTTGGTTGTTTTGGCGTCGACGTCATCCTAGCGCGCAACGTTCTGTCCCTCTTAAAAAAAACAGTGAGAAACGCTGGCAGCGAATGAGTTAAATCTACTCCTGTTTTAATTTAGATGAAAATATTTACAAGCATCAGTTAATTAATTCTTTAGTTTTTGGGTATTATGCAAAATGTTCCCAGTCTGAATTACTGAATTTACCCAAACATGGAACCAATTCAGTCACACTCACTACTCTGCCACAGACGAGGGTTAAAGTGACGATAAAAGATAACAGCAGCGTGAGTTCATCACAAAGCACCACAGAATGAGTGGAAAAGCATGCAAAGCAAGCTCTGACAGACATGCATGCATTTACCTGTAAAGTTTATAAGATGTTGCTAAATTTGCTAAAAGGTCTTGTTTTAAAAAACAAACTGAAAATTCCCAAGGAGAGCAGTGAACTGAGGATCGTGTTTTATCGAGAGGAATAATGAAGGGAAAAGAGGAAAAAACCAGCAGACCTGAAGAGAGGAAATAAAATCACTCATTGCAAACAGTCGATGTGACCAAACGGACCACGAATAACGAGAAACTTACCAATACTTTGACTTCCTGATGCTGAATATTTGGTAATCAATCCATAACGCTGCATGAAGCCTTTAAATGGAATCCTGTAAAAGACATTTTTATTAATATATATATATATATATATATATATATATATATATATATATATATATATATATATATATATTAAAAAGTCAACTAAAGTTGAGAGAAATAAATTATTGAACTTTTCAAAAATGGTGCAGACCTTATTGGAAATCCTGCAGCACTGATATGAATGGTCTCCACGATCCCACAGGCCTCCAGCTGCATGATGACCTGGCAGAAAACAGAATGGATCAAGTAAAAAGTTCTTGGAGGAGGAGAAGACAAAAACAATCATAAAGCCAGAGCAGAAGAACCACCTCTTCTTTCTTAAAGGTCAGCGGCCTGCAGTCGATGTTGGGTTTGATGCAGCGGGTGTAATGAGGAGCGGTGGTGAGGAGGATCTTCATCAGGCTCTCCAGTGAGTTCTATAGTACATTAAAAATCATCAGAATTACGAGAAACCAAACACACCTTCATGAAAACAGACCGGGACTGATCCCACCTTGAACTTGGAGACCACCGTGACTTTGTTGAGGCTCTTGTTGTTTGGGTTCTCTGGTTCCTCGTCAGAGAAGATTTGGTGAAGGACGGGGTTGTTGGACTTATGGAGCAGACTGGTAAGTTCTGGTGGTACCGGGTCCTAAAACACAAAACCCACCTGAAGATCAGTAGACGAATGTTCTTTTCACCTGCTTTTCACTGACAAGTAACACTGGCCAGATTTTTTACTAAACTCTCAAGGAGTAAACGTTGAATAAAAAAAGAACTTTTGGAACAATGAGTCCAATATTTCTGAACAAAAGAGGGTGTTGAGCAAAATTCCCTCTTTTAAAGGACAGATATGAATGAATTTAAAATATTAAATAATGTTTATAAAGTTTTTTGCATTAAATCTCACATAGTGATTCCAGCTCTTTAACTCGATATTTTCAGTGTCTTCCTGAATGAGTCGTTTGAGGGCAATCTGGCCCCGCCCACCCCTCCCCCCGATCAAGCTGCTATAAGCAGAGAAGCTTCGATTTCTGGGAGGGGGTTTACAGTAGAGCCACTGCTCTTCCAGCAGCAGCTCTTCCACAAGAGACATTGCTCTGTTCTATTTTCCCTGTTTGTGACATCACAAATGGGGATTCTTTGAAATGCCTTTTTTAAAACACAATTTCTAAAACCAAACACTGACAGATAGATGAATGTTTATCACATCTGGGGGTGTTTATAGAGGCAGTAGAGACCCACAAGGAATCACAAAAGAATGGAAAAGGTGAGTTTTGCACAATAAGTTCCCTTTATTTAAAACATGGTTTAAAAGGCTTCCTTACCTTGTTTTTCCCCACCATGCCATCTATCTGGTAGTCAACTCTTCCTGCATAATGAGCCACTGTGAAGTATGGCAGCTTGCTGAACTTGTCCCAGCTGATGTTGGCGTTACCACTGAGCTCCTTCTCCAAACGAATCCTCAACATCGTAGCATCAGACGCTCGATTGAGTCGGCTCTCCTTTAGGGCAACATAACAATTATTTACAGACAGTATATTTAAGGAATACACAAACATGCATATAATAAACAAGAAAGTCACCCTTTTTCATTCAAAAATGTATTTAAAAAATAAGGTACATTATTTATGTGTAATCATTTGTTGCTCTGCAGTTAAGATAATTAAAAGCAAAGAGATCATACCTCATTCAGAAGAGAAAAGATGCCGACGGGGGTTCCCTCAATAAGATCCAAACAACTCTGGTTATCTTGAAATTTGACAAAAGACCACTCCATCCCCTCAGACACATATTCCTCCTGAGAGAATTAACACCATAAAATACAAAATATATCAAACACATTTAGAAATGAGTCCAGACCAGCTCCTATACTGTGTCCATTTAAAAACTTGCAGTAAATAAGGGTCAAATACAGAAAACCACCTGTTGAGCCTGAAGATAATGGGAAACAAAGTGCTGCTGGAGTTTCTCGTTGGCGTAGTTGATGCAAAGCTGCTCCAAGTTGTTGTTTTGAAAACACTCAAAGCCGTAAACGTCCAAGACTCCTGCAGATCACAGAGGACAGGACTGAGCTTGAGTAGGGAGGCTGAGCTGTCAGAGCACGTAGCACCTTTACCTATGAAGTTGCACCATGATGATTTGTCTGCACATATGCTGTTGTTGATGAAGGTAACCAACCACTCAAATAACCTGGTGAGAACAAAAGCCACACTTGATATAAGAAGAGATTAAACAAGGAGAGAATCCAGTCAGGGCTGTAAATGATCCTGTTTTAACATTACTGATGTCATCAGATTGTTGTTCTTACCGTGCGTAAATGACTTTGGCCAGACAGTCCCTCCTCACACTGCACTCTGCCCAGGAACAGGGCTTCAGCACACTCTGCTTCCCTGCCTTCAGTGTCCTCACCGTTACACACGTCTGGAGCTCATCTGCAGGAACACACAGCAGCTCCGCTGCTCTCTGCAGGAAGTCTGAAACACGGGTGAGTTTGACGGTAAAAGCTAAACAAAGCCCTTCAAAATGAAAAGAACTAGAACCATTCTGAATTAGGATGGGTAAATCATTTAAATAAATGATTTTAAACACCTTTAGACTGTTCATCGAGCTCATAAGGCTGTGATTCGTTGGTTGAAGTGGAGAAAGTCACATTTCCCAACTGAAGAATCCCAGCTAAAATCTGTTTATAACAAATAAGCAAAAGATGAAAATTTTACAAAACAATATAGCCATGTTAAGAACATCCTTTCCAGTTTGTTTATATACTGTGATTTCATTCATTTCAGCCATTCTCATACAGACTTTTTTTGTTACTAGAACTGTAAGTGTTCCACATCTAAAGCTAAATTGAAACAGTCTCGCTTTACCATAAATATCTGTTTTTGCCTTTCTGCATCAATTCCTAGATGCACCATTGTCTCCAAAGTGTCTTGAAAACAATCATCTGCAAAAGAACATCTATTTGTTCAAATATCTCATAAAAAGCAACAGAGCAGTAGAACGGGTAGAAACTGAAATACTGACCCTCGACTTGCTTTTCACAGTTCGGCAGCCAAACAAATCTCTGATTGCGTGGCATCTTCCATTCGTTTCTCTGTGCATCACTGGCTCCTTTCATCATCTGAAACATAAACATCTCTCAGCACACCATTCGTGGTAATAAAAGACGATGAAACCTGTGAACTCACCTGGTAAAAGATGTGAAAGTTCCTCTCGTCTGCTGGCTGACAGGCTACTCGTGTCTTTTCTAGCAAATATGTTTGCACTGAAGCCCCGACTAACAGCTGATACCTTGAAATGAAAGCAGCACATTAACCAGCTGCAGGCGCCTGGGTTCCTGTAAGGGGTAGAAGACTCGTACCCGTCTAGCTGCAGCTGGATATACTTCCCAAAGCGACTGCTGTTGTTGTTTCGGAGCGTGCAGGCGTTGCCTGCAGAGGGTTCGCTGATGGTGAGTGACTGCTCGCACAAATGTTTACACATTTGAAAAATATCACCTGTTGTCTTACCAAAAGCCTCCATTAAAGGATTGGAGTCTAACACTCTCCTCTCGATCCTTTCTACTGTGTCCTGACTCTTCATCACTGAAGAGGAAGCTGCTACGGTGGCGTAGTATTTCATCAGGCAACGAGACGTCCATGTCTGGTGGGAAATAAATCAGTAGTCATTACTCCCGTAAAGATGCTTGATGCTAATGAACTCTGGCTTATTAACGCTGCTTTCAGGAGTTTTCCCCTTTCAGAAATGATGCACGATTTCTCATAAATCCGTAAAAGTAATTATCTCATCATGTACTGTGATTAAATGTAAGCAATACGTCTTTTTTTTTTTTCTTCTAAGCACGCCCCCTGCCCCACAGAGCTCCATTCAATAGGAAACTGAGCGCAGACCAGAACTAACCAATAGCGATAGATTACCGTTTATTTTTGGTGCGTTCTTACTGTGTTTCAGGGGCGTGTCCAGGGAGTGGCCTGGGGTAGCACATGCCACCCTTGGAATCTGATTGGCCACCCCAGGTGCCACCACACTAATTTACCTTTAAGTAGGCTTTTCCTTGTCCACAAAAGACTTGGGGGTAAAACAAAAATAGCATAACCATTGGTGCCACCCATGCACAAAGTTGTGCCTCACCTGGGCCACCCCATTTTAAAAGATCTGGACACGCCACTGCTGTGTTTAGTTTCTAATTCCATTATTGGTTCTTTTTAAAACACAAGAAAGGTTTCTCTTCACCTTGCTGACGTATGTTTCGTTTGCTGACTGCAAAACTTCCTCAGAGCTGACGCTGATGGTGGCGTCACTTCCTACTCCGTTTATCCGCGGGCAGCAGAGGACGTTGTCCCCCTCTGCTGCCCGCTCTCCCCTCTCCGATGATGCAGTCCCATGCATGATCCAATGAGTAGACCCCATCGTCTCTGTTCATGGTCCCACATCCACGTCTCCTTATCTCGATTGCTTCTTTTATCCATCTTTTGTATTTCTGTTGTTCGGTGTTTATGATCCTTGTCCGGAGTAGGAAGTGACGCCACCATCAGCGTCAGCTCTGAGGATGTTTTGCAGTCGGCAAACGAAACGTACGTCAGCAAGGTGAAGAGAAACCTTTCCTGTGCTTTTAAAAGAACCAAAAATGGAATTACCGCTTATTTGCTTCAAATTTAAGGAATACCTCGGTTGATGCAGAGTTGATGAACTTTTCACGGACAAGTAAGTCTCTAAAATATAAATATATGAAAACACAACATGACATGAGAATAATACTCGTAAAACAACGTGTTTTAGCTCCGTTTGTCCGCTAAGAAGCACATTTATAAACAAAAACGTGAGGTCGCGATCTTAAACAGAGGAATAGACTTTTTGTGTGATATGCTTGTCAGCCACTTGATGGTGCCATTAGATAAGAGAAATACTCCAGAAAGAAGCTTTAAGAGATTTTCTTCAAATAAAAGCATCTTAAAAATCCAGTATGATATTCAGAACTTTGAAGACAGACTTCAGGTTTTTTATTTATAGGTATTTGTGTGCATTAATTCACCTTTCCAGCTCCACTTTCCCCACTGACCACCAAGGACTGGTTGATTGGCTCTAGTTGGCCTTGTACATTCCTGTAAGCCTCTTCTGCCACAATAAAGATGTGTGGTTTGAACTCCTGTTAACAAAAACCACACAACTTACGCCGATCCTGGCTTTCCTGCGTACGTATTTGGGCCTGTCACTGCATAACTGCATCAGCACTCCCCACTTGTAGATGCTGTAAATACCTGAGGCTGAGAAGCAAAGTGATACTCCTTCATCACATCCAGAGTGTAGAGGTCTGGAATGGGCTGGAAGGGGTTCAGAGCCACCAAAGTGCAGCCGGCATGGGTGTAAAACACCTTCATGCTGTACCTGGCCTGCAGGCATTTTAGCACTGGAAGGTAAACATAAACAATATCAGACATTCGAGGTAAGGTTTCATTAGGTCACCAGAAGCATGATCAATAAATAACTACATATGATAAATGATTGTACACGATCGTTAGCATTGCATGACAAATAAAATATATTAAAAAACAGACAGTCTTCAGGAGAAACCGTCTACTCTAAAACTTATTTAAATTTTTTATAAAATCTGTTTTATGCCAATGAATTTATTGATACGAATAAAAAAAGCTACACAATATCATGACATGGGTTGAAGTGGTCAAAACAGTAAACTATTACCTGTCAACTAGAACTTCTCTCATATTTTTAATACATCTGCAGAGGTCTCTAGCAGGAATGAATGCCTTGAAAAGACCTACTCTGGGGAAATAAGCTCTGGCGTGCCTGCTTCAGCACGGAGAATTCAGCTAGACAAGAAAGTAGCTTCAGACGACAGGATACGGGGGCTTATTTCCTGATATGTGGACACCTCGCCTCTGACTGGATAACAGCGACTCGACTTTACCACCGACTCTGCTTGCTCTGCAATGCTGATGTTTTATCTCTACAAACACCTCAAGCCTGGAGGAGTTTTGCTGTGTTGTAGAGTTGCTAATGCTAAGCATCTACTAGCGGGGGCGTTCTCTGCTGTTTCCTGGATGCTAAAGCAACAACAGCCGTACCCATCCATGAATGTTAGTGACAGTGTGATGTAGCTCGGTCTGTTTTCTATCAGAAGCGAATGCAGGAGACTGGTTTCATGTTCAGCCTGCATGGAAAATCTCATGGAGACTGAAAACTGGTTTCTCTGTGAAGGACCTCTTTAAGTGAGACTCTTCTCTTCTGTCTTTAGCAAAGCAGCAGTAATTCATGCATATTTGTATCAGTACTGCAGATTTGATCTCAACAGAGGCATGCTGTTGATAGCAAGAGCCAAGGTGACACAATAAAAAAATTTGTAGCACTACCTTGTTCTCTGAAATCAAGTAATGTTTAAATCACTAAGCTTTGGACAATGTTTCCATGTGATACCTGTTGTTGGAGTCACAGGGTTGACTTTAGTAAGGTCGTCATAAGTGTGGAGTTGGTCTTCATCAATGAGGAAGGCCAGAATTTCACCCTCCAGAGAATCATTTACAGGTGGATCAGGCAAGTAGGGTTTCTGAGCGAGTCCTTTCTCCTGTGTGAATTAATAAAACGCCTTGAGTGTGACGCAAGACAGGTGAGGTCTGGGTTTTGTGTTTATTGTATTTGTTATTCCGACAACATCAGACGGGGCAACAAACTCGCTGACGCCCTCATGACATGTGCGTGTTTAATTACACAAATCACTCCCTGAATTCTGAAGAGTTTCATGGACAACATGTTTATGTTTATAGACTTATACACACTCCAGTCCTGTATAGAGACCGAGTCATCTAATTACATTTATTAGGTGAGTCACAAGCTCTTCAGTCTGATAAAGGGAGGTCCACTTTATCCTGCCACATGACCTGAACTTGCAGCCTCCCTAGAGCCTGTCAGCTGTCCAATGCACCCAATTCCTGCAGACACGCTTAATCCAATAGCAGGTAGCTTACATCCCATAATTCTGCCACTTTTAGAATATGTGAATAATCTTAATGTCATTAATTTAGTACCAAACACTACAAATGCATACCTCTAAAATACAATGATGTAGATATTTTAAAATACCCTTTAAAAAGCAGTGATAAAGGGCTAAACATACTGACAGTGAGGCATTACAACATTTTTAAACCAGTTTGAACATGTGAGCTACAACACAAAAATCTGACACGAATCAGTGTTTACGTCTTCAATCTAATTTAGGAGAAGAGGGACAAGTGTGATTAAAAATGTATGAAATTCATGGAAATTACGGGGACTACTTCAATTTTAGGCGCATGAATATTATGAATGCTAGTTCCTTTACACTTTAAAATGTTTAATAAATAAAACAGTTGGTGATAAGTTTTTTACAGGTCAAGCTAAACCAGTAATCACAGTTTGAACGTTGAAAAGTCAAAATAAGAACGCCCCTGAACCACCAGGACGGGTCCGGCTCTACTTACCGTTGCCCCTCCCACTGGAACGTTACGCCGGTCTGCCGCTGAAGTCATTGGTTTTCTTGTCTCCTAAAAATCAGTCGAAACAACTAAAGAATTCTTGTACTTTGGCTTTAATTGTGAAAAGTTTTGTTCAACATGCAGCTCCACTACTTACCCACAGTCCCAGAAGGACAGACGTCTGTACGCAGCTGTCCCACTCTCTCCCAGAGTGACTCCCAAACCTCACGTTATTCCCGCCCTCTCGCGACACTTTATGGCCTCAAGTGGAACAATTTGAAGTTGTGTTTACGCTGTCAAGAGCCCTAACAATTACAGCTAGAGTGCTGTTTTATTTATATATTAAACAAAATAAAAACGGATAAATAGTTTTTTTAATGTCCCCCAAAGTGGTTATCAACCATTTACATGCTGTGTACGGAAAATATCTCAGGTCATTGAAAGTAGCCATAAATCCGAGTTGTCCACAACGCACCACGAATCCCGGAAGTAACGTAGGTATGTGGAAAATGAACTTCCGTCTTATAAACAGTCTACAGAACAGGTTTGGGTTACAATATGTATTTCTGACAGTCAGCTAAAATTTCTACGGTGAGTACTGCTGAATTAACGTTTGAAAACTTTTTATCGTTTACAAATAACGAGTTTTACCTTTTAGCCGTCTGATCGTGTTTTAAAAATGTGTTTCCTGATAAATAAATGCCTATACACTAGTGCGTAAAACTGCTGTTTGTGACTGGAAACCAATTTGTCAGGAATCCATGCTCTTGAAGGCACTGTTTCCCTCTTCTATCACCAAATGAGCATTGCAGCTGTTCACCGTCTGGTCATACATGTTAAGATGGTCTATTCGTCATTTATAAACCTTTTTTTCCCACATGTAATATTAATTGTTTTTTTACAGGCAATGGCTGAGAAGGAAGTGAAGGAAGCGTTCATCCGTAATCTCAACGGCACCAGTTTAGCAGAAGTGACTCTTGGATTATCTCTCGCTCCAGTGGTCCTCATTAACAGAAGCCTCATCCTAATTCTTTACTACCAGGCCAAAAGGACTCTACCACTGCCTTTTCCTATCATTTCTCACCTGTTCCTGGACTTCTCTGTGCTGATCCTTCCCCTCACCCTGTCATGCACCATTCTGAGCAGCAACATCCTCCATGTTTTCACCAGCCTCGCATTTGTCTCAGCTTGCGGGGTTTGCTACATCTGTTTCACCAGCACTCAGTCCCATGCCCAGCCTCTACAGAAGAGTGTCAGGATTTTCTTACAAAGTCACACCCAGTTCAACCAGGTTCCCTTTGTGACCCTCTTTCGAGTGTTTGTGAATGTGAAAACAGCCATCAGCATTCTTGCGGTAGACTTTGCCATCTTTCCAAGAAGATATGCTAAAACGGAAACCTATGGGACAGGGGCTATGGACTTTGGAGTTGGAGCGTTTGTGTTTGCAAATGCTCTGGTCTGTCCTGAGGCAAGGAGGAAGAGCATCTCAGGATCCAAGATGAGTCACGTCACAAAGCAGATCCTATCTGTCTGGCCCCTGCTTGCTCTTGGCTTTGCTAGATTTGTGAGCGTCAAAATGACCAACTACCAAGAACATGTGACAGAATATGGTGTCCACTGGAATTTTTTCTTCACACTAGCAACCGTCAGAGTCCTGGCTTCTGTGCTTTTGACCTTTTTACCAGCCAGACAAATGTGGATTCTCGGTCTTGTGATTGGTATGTTTTATCAGTTTATTTTAGAGGCAACAGAGCTAAAGGTTTTCATTATGCACAACAATGACAGAGAAAAGGACTTTCTACATGCCAACAAGGAGGGAATATTCTCTCTGGCTGGTTACGTTGCCATTTATCTGATAGGAGTTCAGATTGGACTCTATGTGATGCAACCAAGATCTCGAGTTAGTGAGTGGCTCAGAATGCTTTTAAATCTTTTTTTGGGAAGTCTGGTCTTGTTTGGTTGCTTGCACATTTGTCAGAATCTGGTGGAACCCGTGTCTCGCCGCTCTGCAAATTTCCCTTTTGTCCTTTGGACTGTCGCTCAGTCTTTGTACCTTCTATCTTGTCTTGGTCTAGCCGATATGGTTTTGCTGTTCTCAAAAAGAACATCTGGCTGTCACGCCATACCGTCGTCACTGAATTTGTATAAGAAAGGAGCGGACAGCGACGAACTGAGCGGCAAGGAGAGAGGAGAAACCGAAAGACTCTGCTTCATCCAAGCTGTTAGCAGGAATCAGCTGTTGTTTTTCTTGCTTGCAAATCTCATGACTGGACTGACCAACTCTCTAGTGGACACACTTAGTTGTAGCAGTTCATTTTCAGTGTGTGTTTTATTGCTCTACATGTTCATAAATTGCTTGGTGATGTACGTTTTACATTTGTGTGGAATTACAGTTAAATTCTGGTAAGGAAATTCAAAGCATTTAGTTGCAAAATTCTATATGTGTGGTGAAAATGCTCTGTTGTTACAAACGTATGTATTGAGTTTGTCTCTGGATAAAGGACGACTTGAACTAAATATTTATGGGAGACTAAACTTTTGCGTCCTGCTTTTTTTTAAATGACCTTCACTGTTAACCACAAATGAATGAGTTCCACCTACGTCAGAACAGTCATCTGTAAAACTGGCACTGGTTTTCCAGGAATGGATTAAAAATGTAACAGGAAAAATGTTATTTGGTTTATTGTAACAGCTGGGTGTTTTCAGGAATGTTACCTCTCTGTAGATTGTTTTACAGCTTCAAATCAGAAATACGGTAACTGGAAGGACATGAAAAAAGCAATTTTTATAAAATGTATTACAGGGTTCTTTCAGCCATTCAAAAGTGTGTTTATGTGTAAAACGTATTACCATTTCACTCTTAAATAGCTTCCTGAACACCAACCACTATTCACAGAAATGGTGTTTGTGCAGATTGAGGAGCTAACAGCTAGTCTGAATACTGAGACAAATGTTTTGCTCTAATCTTCAAATTCTCACATCAGTTAATGTAAATTTATTTTGCAAACCTATTTTAGCTAAATTGTTTAAAAAATCTTGCCAGAACTGACCCTTGGATGCTACATTTTGTTGCTGGTGGTTAATGTTTTTAAATAACAAACGTGAAACTGATTTTTTTTTTTTTATTGGAAAATAATGGACATTCGTGAGTCGGAGGGATTTCATTGCTTTAAACCATATGTGTAAAACCAGATTCTGTGGTGGACTGGCGACCTGTCCAGGGTGTCCTCTCACTCAATGACTGCTGGAGTTTGGCACCAGCTTCCTTCAACATTACTGAGGATAAGTGAGTATGAAGAGGAGTGCTGATTTTTCAAAATAGAATGCCAAAATGCACAAATTCAAACACCCAAAGTACAGACATTTAAAAGATAATGTATCTAGCAAATTAGTATGGGATACATGTGCATTATCTGCTGGTTGCTCCTCTGACTGGTATGGTGCCCTGGTAAAACACCTGTTCATTTAGAAGGCAACAATTGTAAAAAAAGAAAGTATTTTTTTAGAAACAAAATATTTATAAGATCTCTTTTCAATGTATGATTCGTTCGTTACTATCAAATGAAAAATGTTATATAATAGTGTTTGGTTTATTTATTTGTTTTATTCTCACCAACGCCCTCTAACGGCGGCACGTCTAATAGCGCCCTGACGTTCATACAGGGTAAAGGTGAAATCAGTCATGAAGATTCCGTCACCGTAGCAGCCTCAGTCACTGTCGCACTTATTTGTTTTTGTATGTAACTTTCGAGACGCGGGTAAGCAAAATTAGCGATTCATTTAATCGAACTCCATCTTTACTTTGCCAATAAACCAGCTGCGTTGTCAGAAATGTGTTTTATACGAAGAACGGACGGCAGTGTCGGTCGCTAAGTAGCCGCTCTCATAGTTTAACTTTATAGTAGCTAAGATTAGCTTGCTAACGTTAGCAATGGTGTGAACGAGCAGGTTAGACACGGTTCCTGACATCGACAAGGCAAAGCCAAAATGTGTAAATTCCCCAACATGTGTTAAAGCGAATTGAGCACTACATTATGGAAAGTGCTGCTGTTTAATTTCTTCTAACAAATGTCTTTTATTTCTAATATAATAGGGATTTTTTTTAAATACGGAATTAGCTAGCAGGCTAGCATAAACTATGGGATCTTTAGTTGTTATGCACAGCTATCGGCATTATACGTGGGTGGCTCAATCTATGCTTACTTGACCCCAATCAAACAGAAGTTGTAGATACATTTTATGAAGCTAATACTTTTGCCATGTTCCCATCTAATCTCTGTATTTTCGCTAACCTAGCAGGCTAAATCTGGGTCAAGACATCAGCTAGTGAGTTACTTACGGGGTAATTAGAACGGTTAGTTCTGTTCTAATTCTCAGTGTGTTTTGTTGAGGTTTAGATTGTAAAACAAATGCATGTCGATGACAAAATGTTGTTACTAGCTAAGAGAACCGGCTGTAATAGCACCGGCTTGATGCAGCCTATAATGTATCTCGGTGTGTTCAACCTGCAGGTGCTACACAGAAGCCGAAAACGGAAGAAGTCATGGCACGTCTGGTAGCAGTTTGCAGGGAAGGAGAGGAAGACTACCAGTTTTTGGCCAGACAGATCCCCCTGTATATTGATGACACTCTCACGGTAAGAATCTGTGATAATGAGGATGCTTTTGCACATAAACTGGAAGAAACCTGATTGTGGAAACATGCAGCTTTGGAAAAAGTATTTTCCTCCTTAAAGATTTCTTTTATTTTCTTTTGTCACACTTGGTTGTTTCACCAAAGAAATTTGATTATCATACAAAGATGATGGTATTAGGAAGAAAAGCTATCCAAAGCCACCGGTCCCTATGTGGAAAAAGTAATTGACCCAAACCTTTTAACCGGTTCTAACATCCTTGATGGCAACAGTTTTCATGATAACAGTCAATGAGTCTATATCGATCACTGTAGAGGGAGTTTGCCCCACTCTTCTTTGCAGAATTTCTTGAATTCAGCCACCTTGGAGTTTTCCACAAATCTCAGTTGGATTTAGGTTTGGATTTTGGCTGAGCCTCTCTAACCCTTATTTTTTTAGTAATTCAGAGGTGGATTTGCTGGCATACTTTGGATCATTGCCATGCTGCATAACTCAAGTGCACCCAAGCTTAAGGTGATGAGCTGACATTTGGACATTCTGCTTCAGGATTTTCTGGTAGAGAACAAAAAACCATGGGTTCATCAGTTGCAGCTGATGGTCCAGGTGCTGAAGCAGCAAAGCAACCCCAAACTATTACACTACCACCGCTGTGCTAGACTGTTGGTATGATCTTTGTCCGAAAGGCTTTTCGTTTAACCCTATCCTTCCCAAAAGTTTCACTTTTCTCTGATCTTGTCACTAAATTCTTCCCTAAATCTTTGCATATCCCCATCATGTTTCTATTCAAATGTGAGCTGCAGCTTTGTGTTGATGTCATTTTTATCTTATCTCCTTCTACTTGCTGAATCAGGAACTCCAACCTCAGTCATCATAACCAAACAAGACATGTGATGCTTTAGATGTTCTTGGTCCGTTTAAGTACTTTTTCACATAGAGCCATGTTGGTCTCTGTGCCTTTTGTTCCTGTGATAAATTCAACCATCGTTTGAAAGCTGATTTGTATTTTCTCTGGTTGTCTGTGTTTGATGCTGGAATGTGTGTGCTGATCTGAAATATTCAAGTGGGATAAAAAGCTAAACTATAAAGGGGCTAATACTTTTTCACAGCACTGCAAAACTGCTTGGATCGCTTTAAAATAAAAGTGCAGGTGGCTTGAGTTAAAGTTCTGATTTAGGATCCAATATAAATTAATCTAGACTGATCATTTTGATATGATGCTCGTCAGATGGTGATGGAGTTTCCTGACAGTGTGATGGATGTCGACAGCCATGAAATCAACACTTCTCACTGGAAACAGTTTACCGAGGTGGGTTTGAATATTTTACACAATGTCCTTGAATTTACCTAAAAACTACGCATACGTAATATCCTGAAAATTGTACATTTATTTGAGTAATTGTTTAAAAATGTGATAACATTAATGGGATTTTCCTGCCTCTAGGATTACTCCAAGCTGAGGCAGCAGGACTTGAATATTGCCTTGGTGGTGGCATCCAGAGAGGTATATGGTGCTTTATCTCAGCTGGTGCCTTGTGTGGGCTGCAGACGAAGCGTTGAGCGCCTCTTCTCGCATTCGGTGGAATCAGGGAACCCAGCTCTGGAGCCCCTCACAGTGAAACCAAAAGGCATGCTCACCGTCACCAAGGCCTGTTTAGCTGACAGGAAGAAGCTTTATACCCTCTTCTACATTCATGGGTGAGAGACGGAGGAGTCTTCTTTCGTGTTCACACTTAATTATTAGTCCACTCATTAAACGTATAATTGGTACTAGTTTACCCTAGCCAGTATATTACTTCAGTTAAAGAAAACAACTCAAGACTTTTTTGTGTTCACTTAATTATTTAGACTCCTTTACAACAAATGTGTTGATGTATTCATATAAAATCAACCCTTTATTTTAGTTCAGTATTATTTTCTTGTCATTTGTTTACAGATCAAAGTTAAATGACTTGATTGATGCAATTCCAAAAAGTAAAAAGAACAAACGCTGCCAGTTGCACTCCTTAGACACACACAAACCTAAACCTTTGGGGTAAGTAGTGTTTGTCTCTCTAAATTTCACTAATTATTTAAACGTTAGCTTTAACAACACAACCGTCTGTTAAACTGTTATGATGATCGCTTGCTGCAGGGGGAGCTGGATGGATGTGTGGGAGCTGATGTCTCAAGAGTGCAGGGATGAGGTTGTCCTCGTTGACAGCGCTGGTCTTCTTGAGACACTGGAGGGATACTTGCATAAACACCGGTGAGCTGAAGCACCTTTGATTATAACATGTTGTTTTCCTGCATAAAACTGGGTTTTAGGATTAAAAAAATCCACAAACGCCATCTTCATGAACTTCCCGTCTGTCGCCAGGTTTTGCACCGACTGTAAGAATAAAGTCCTAAGAGCGTACAACATCTTGGTAGGAGAGGTGGATTCCAGTGAGGAGAAGGGCTACTGTGCTGCTTTGTATGAGGGACTGTGTTGCTGCCCTCACGAACGACACATTCACGTGTGCTGTGAAACAGACTTCATCGCTCATTTGCTTGGAAGAGCTGAGCCGGAATTCTCAGGAGGCTATGAGTGAGTCGGGTTTCAGAATAAAAGCTGCTCTAATCATGTGTTTCATCAATACGTTTAGTTTAAAGAGCAAGTCACCCCCTACCAGAGTCTAACTCCACTCCCACTTCATGTTTGAAAAATGCAACACATGCTGTTGCTTGGCAGACCGAGAAGGCGGAGCTGCTAACAAATACACACACACAGGCTCACGACAGAATTGTGACATCATAATGTACCAGTTTACATCATAGCATACTTCTTAGCCAATAGCGGTGGCAGATTTAAATTCAAATACAGTGCAGAGTTTTTACCTGACAACGGCACAACACTGACAGTTTTAGGCAGAATATTTAAATTTTAACTAAGATGCACTGAAGTGCCAAATTATTGACGACACGTGTCTGCAGCATGATTAGACACTCGTTTATTTAGTTTATCAGCAAAAAAAAGTTTATTTGGGGGTGACTTGCTCTTTAACTAAAGAAACGTACAAGTGGTTGGAAAAGTTGGGTTAACAGTAGATTTTCTTTTCTAAGACGCAGAGAGAGACACGCAAAGACAATTGACATTGCACAAGAGGAAGTCCTGACCTGTCTGGGCATTCACCTCTACGAGCGGCTGCACAGAATCTGGCAGAAACTCCACGTAGAGCAGCAGACCTGGCAGATTTTGTTCCATTTGGGAATTGATGCACTACGGAAAAGTTTCGAGGTGCGTGCTGGTCTGAGCATGACTGTGATTTTACTGAAAGCGGGGGGTTACTTTAACATCTTTATGATCCCAGATGGCAGTGGAGAAGATGCAGGGGATCAGCCGGCTGGAGCAGTTTGTCGAGGAGCTTTCCGAGGAGGAGCGAGCCAAAGAGCTGAAGCTGGAGAGAAAGAGGCAAAAGCGGAAAAATCGACGCAAAAACAAGTGTGGCTTTGACATGTCTGAACAGGAGGTAGAAGACAAGGAGAAAGTTCTGGATGAGGTCATCTTCTAATCACGATCATATGAATCTGAGGTTGTACTTAAGCTACTGCTGCTGCATGTTTTTGGGTCTTTTTGATGCATTGCAGGATCCTTTTGAGGGCAGCTGTAAGGCCTGTGGTAGCCATGGTGATGAGGAGGAAGAGACTGGCTGTCAGGGGACAGATGCCACCAGTAGAAGCACCACCTGTAGTTGCTCAGAAAACACAAAGCAATGTAAAGATCTATTACAGTAAAACATTTAAGTCATTTTTGTAGATCTCCAAATGAGATTCCTCTATTTTTACAGATTTATCCCACAATGGAAGTGACTGTGGCTACTCCTCCAGTATGGAAGGCAGTGAGATGGGATCGCGGGAAGGCTCTGATGTTGCCTGCTCTGAGGGAATCTGCAACCACGACGAAGCAGGTCAGAATAGAATCGAATAAACTTTCAGAAATCTTATAAACATGCAGAGTGGCATTTTTAAAATCTCACTTATTTTCCTTGTGAAGGTGACGACCCGAGTGTCCACCCCTGTGCTGAAGTCAAGGAGGAGGATGGAACAGACAGCTGTGTGGACTGCTGGTCACACGCTGATGAAAACCATCAATGCAAGAGCAAGAAGAAGAAGAAAAAGGGAAAGGTCTTCTGCAACAATCAGGTGAGAGAACAAACTGAAGAATTAGCTGTTTTGTTACAGAATAATCAATAATAATGGAACATCTTCATGTTTCTCCAGGGGAAAAAGGCTGTCGGGTGTATGTCCAAGGGGAACGCAGCAGGCCACAATATGATTTCAGTGCATGCTTGTCAAACCAAAGAATTATTTTCCTCCCTATGTGGTGATACATTTACCAGCATTGCACTACGGTTACCGTGGACCGTACATCAGAAGAACCTCAGCCTTCACGTTAGGCCTCCAAGTGAAAAAAGGAGTCTGGTGGAGCTTCTGGTAAGTTATCGAGACATAGACGCCTTTCATGATCCGGAGAAATCAAGATTTTCTACCGATTTATCTTTCCTAGAACTAGGGCTGCTCGATTATGGCAAAAATAATAATCACGATTACTGTGACTGAAGTTGAGATCACGATTATTTAGGACGATTTTTCTATTTATGTTGATTTTATTTGTTTTTATTCAGTCATAAAATTGCTCAGGGCACAATCAGGACAAAAATAAATAAGAAACAAGATGATCACTAAAATAACTCCTGATTCCCAGTATAAAAAGACCAATATACTTATAGCTCATAGTTTATGACCCAAGGGCTATAGACCTTGGTTTAACTCATTTAAGTCTAACCAGTACAGACCCAAATACCAATATCTTGCAAATACTGACAGCAAGACTTATACAGTGGCATTTATAACAAATAAATGTAAATAAATTGATGTTCACAAAATGTTGCATAACATTTATTGAGTCGTGTCAAGGTGCTGTAGGAGAGTGCACTAGCACCGTGTCCTCAGAGAGATTAGTTATTAGTTATCAGCGTGAGGAACTTATTTCTACCTTATTTATAAACCATTTATTTACAAGTCCATCAGTTAATGTAATAATTGTCCCAACCACAGCTGCACCCCCCCCCCCCCCCCCCCCCACCCCCCAACCCGGTCTCACAGCAATCGGGGCAAGCTGCACATGTGTTTAGCACGCCGCACGCGCACATTTAGCCGTTTTTAGCGGCTCAGGAGTCCGCAGGTGTGGTGTGTGTGTCACTCACTCTGGTTACTCCAACAAGGAGCCGGCTCTGAGAGCCGTTTCTTTAGCGACTGACACATCACTACATCATTCCCTTTCCTAATGTCCTGAAGAACGGTCCGGAGCGCAGGCGGAGTGTTTAGCTAACCTGCAGGAAATGGCAATGACCGTTATCCAGAAAGTAGCTAAGGGTTACCAGAGATGTTTCTCAGGTGTTCGCTAGGTACTTTAAAATTTAAAACGTCAAGAAGGGGGTCTGAAAAGCTGCTAGAAATAGCGTCAAAGTCGCCAAGTTGGCAACACTGTAGAGGAGCGCTTCATTTGCATCTCAGGGCAGCGCAAGTGGGAGGAGCAAATAATCGGCTTGTTTTGTTTTTTATAGTCGTTCAAAACTCAGATCGTAACTGTGATTAAAATTCGATTAATTGAGCAGCCCTACCTAGAACAAATTGTTTTGTTTTTTTTGGTGAGAGGGTTTTATTCTGAGATAACATTTGTGTTTTGTTAAAGTTGTTCCTGATGGTTTAGATTCCCTAACACAATCCTTCCTACTTGTGTTTCTGACCCAGGATGATTCAGAAGTGACCTCTGATGACGAGAGCTGTCTGACTCAGGACGAAATCAAGGCATTCTTAGATCAAAACCAGTCCTTCTACAATAACCGCCACCGTTACAGACAACTCCTCAAAGAGAAATTCACCAACTACTGTCGTGCCACTGAGCAAAGGAAGCAGGTTTGTGGAACGTGGTTTGCTACAACCAGTGTCAAGTAATTGCACTAATGACATCTTCCTCCCCTGGAGAAGAGAAACACTCATGACCACTGCTGTAACATTTTTATAAGACACACTTCAGCAGTACCTTTGGTGTCTTGTTGGGTCCTTCCGTCTTTAAAGAAAGGTTCTTGCGTTCTTTTTGTGCTTTTTCTTTTGCACTTGTGCACAAACAGTTGTTCATCTCCCGTTTTCACATTCAAAGCTGTAATTTTCTTCGACCAAGCCTATAGATGTTTGTTTCCAGTCTTCTGTGGGGTCTTTTGGGTAAAAGCACAGCGGGTAAAGAAGTTTAGCATCACAAGATGTACTTTTATGGGTTAATTTTAGGAGTCTTACTGTATTTTTTTTTTGCTATGATTTGATTTCTATTATTTCTCTTTGGTGACTCTTAAGTGTAGTGCTAAAGGTTGTACTATTATGTGTACAGAAATCTAAAGATTTTACAGAGAATAAACATCCATTTGCAATGAATTGTGGGTGTGAAAAGAGCGCAATGTGGAAAAAATGACTACGGTAAATAAAGAATATTTATTAATAAGCACAATAAATTTGTATTATTTATGAAAAAATTCTGTAAAAAATTGAATTTTATGTATTGCTACATATCAGTTTAAAAGTGGAGCGTTCATCTGCCACCTCCTCTACGCTGATGACATCAAAGCTGAGTGCTAGGAATTAGAAGAACATTTAGACTGAATATTTATGGTTAAATGTTATTCTACTCCCTGAAGGCAATGTTCCAGACTTTCAGCATGGCTACAGATATATTAGAATCCTACAAGTGATTATTAAGTCTAAATGAGGCTGCATGAAAGTCGTCTGCAAATGAGGCAAAATCCAAACCAATATGTTGGGCCTATCAGATATCCCACTGGTGCAACTTCCTGGCCAGATGACAAGATAGGAGTCACTGATATGAGGACTAAGCCACTTTATAAAATGAAACTAAACTGATGCACAACAATAAAGAGATAACATGGAAGAGGAACCGGAGGAACTGCCAGAGTAAAGTTCTGCACATGAGCAACTGAGGTTTGTTTCTCGCACGGCAGACAGGACCCAAAATGCCGACTACAACCGACACAGCATGACTCGGGCGTGACCCCCGACAGGACAGCGGAGATGGTGTGTAGAACCCTAGAGCTCCCAGGCCTCTGGTTTAAAGCATGAGCACCCAAACAGAAGGGTGACTTGAGGTGAAATATTAAACCAAGTCTTGCTCATATCTGTTTAAAATGTGTTTTTATTATGCTATTTTATTACATTTTATTATAATTAATCTAATGGTTAATTATTAACCCAAGAAGAGCACTTTGGGCGACATGGAAGTCATAATCATGAGATACTAAGTAAAGTAAGGGTAGAATTTCATAAATATTCAATAGTTTTACTTAATATCATAATTTATTGTTAACGATAAAGTCACAATTATGAGATACTATATCAATTATAATTATGGTTTATTATTTATTATCTCATAATAATTTTGACCTAGAGAGTATTATAGATTTGCATTGGTTAGTAGGAAAGGTGCTTTGGTGAAATACTAATAATGCCTTTCCGTATTGTAGTAGCTGTTTATCACCAGCAGGTGGCGCTATAAAACCACACGCAGTCAGTGGTTCGTAGAGAAAGTGGGAGGTGAAGCGGACGGAACATTCAAACGCTGCCGCCGGACCTTTCATATTTCGGCCCAAGGAGCGCGTGGGTCGGTCAGTACACTGGATGTTAGAAGCTGGGACAGACTTGAAACCTCTGGGACGGGTGCAATCCACAATTTAAATACTGCACGCAACAGTGATATATTTGAAGAAAAGAGACTTAAGCTAGGCTGTCAAGGACATCATCACGGGAGCCGCTGAATCGAAACGTTACCGGTGAAAGAGGTTGAGATGGAGCGGTGGAAAGGCAGAGTGGCCCTGGTGACCGGAGCCTCGGTTGGGATTGGAGCAGCTGTAACTCGGGCTCTGGTCCAACACGGAATGAGGGTTGTGGGCTGTGCCCGGAATGTCGACAAAATTGAGGTGGGACATTTTTTATGGTAATGACATTTATTGGGTAACAACCACACCGGTTCGCCTGCTAACATTAGCTGTTACAGTTGGAGCTAAAGACCTTTAGCCCAGTGTGTTACAGCTAGTTATAGAGTCGCGGTTTTATTCAGATTTATCGCCAAACAGTCCCATGTCTTCGTTTATATATTCTGCGAGGTTCAATATGGTGAATACACATCAAAGAATGAAAATACTCAATTAAACCAATAGTTTTAAATATAAATTTAATAATAATCACAAACAAATTAAAATAGCTAAAAGCCGATTAGCTAGTTTTGCTAATGCTTGAAATTTAAATGTGAATAATGCCACACGTTTCCAAAAAGTAAATGAGGTGATAGTAATGCCTGCGTCTTTAATGTTGTAAATGCTGAGTAGGTGCACACATACCCATCGCAGATGATCAAGAGAATAGATGCTGATCTGGTAAATCAACTCAAAAGTTTATTTTACCACAGGGAATATTTATTTTGTGGTGTTACAAATTCACTGGCTCACATTTTAAGCACAGGCATCATTAGTAATAAAGAATTCACCACACCTGTTAGTAAAATACAGATGTAGTTAATATTAATTAGTTCCTCCCTGTTGTGATTTGATTAGAAGCGTGTGTTAGTTTGGCACCACTGTTGAATCTGTAAGCTTACAGCTGTAACCAGCCACTACTTATAATAAAGGAGAATGTGTGGAAATGTGTCAGGATCAGGGTGATGGCATGTCAGCTGGAGGGCAGAGGACTGCCCAGCTTCACTAAACTCAAAGGAATTGCACCTTGTTCGTCTTCTGAGCCAATAATTAATCCTCTCCCTCAACGCCTTAGCGATTCCATCATTGTGCTGTTGCAAGTCTAAATCATTCACATTTTAACACCCCATTATTTGAATAATGTTTTCCCTTATGCTATTTGGCCCTGCGTTGAAATTACAATTGTTACAGCTTAATTTTATATTATAAAAGTATTTGGAACCAAGTTGTAAAGAGTATTTTAAATATTGTTCACAGTTGATGTCACAAGCTTTTGTGCCTCAAAAAAAGGGGTTATCCATATGATACCATGTTGCATCAGACACACAAAGACTTACAGTGACCCATTGTCCCTCAGCAGACGACAGGATGAGTTGGAGAGGAGCTAGATTAGATCTTAACTCAGCATGTGTCATTTTGCTTCAGCCTGCTCAACAACACAGTCACAACTAGGGATGTGTATTGGTGAAATTCTGGCGATACGATACATGTCACGATACAGGGAGACAATACGATACGTCACGATATATTGCAATACATTCAGCCAGACGATATTAGCGATTTTGTTAGACTGAAATTATTGTAGGAATAAACAGTCCAAACTGATAAGTAACATGTCTAACTTGAGGTATCTGAACCATAATAGAGAGATTTACATTTCAGTAGTGAAAAGAAAACCCATTGCACACTGCTGCCAACTAGTGGTCAGTGTTAGAATTGCACCAAAAGTAAAGAAAATACACAAATGTTTGCATTTGAATTCTTCCAAAAATTCGATACACGGCTTTTGAATATTGCTATAATATCGTAGGAAAAAATATCGTGATATATTGCCATATCAATATTTTCTTGCATCCCTAGTCACAACTAAGGCTGTCCCGATACAACTTTTTCACTTCCGATACAATACCAATATTGCAGCCTTCAGGATTGACCAATACCGATATCAATCCGATACGACATCAGTACAAATCATGCATACATTTACCTATTTCACAGTGTGGAATGGATGAAAGGCTTGATCAAGTGATTTTACTCAATCAAAGAAGAGCCAATAACAGTAAGTATGAAAAAAATGACAATTATTTTTTAACTGTTGGTTGCAAAAATGTGAACCTTAACAGATTGCTAATATCAGAGATGTTTCATGCAGTCCGATATAATCCGATACCGTGTTTTTGGGCCGATAACGAATTACTTCCGATATCGATATCTGAACGGGACATCCTAGTCACAACAGCTCCTGCCTCCTCAAAGTTTCTACTTTACACCATAAATGACAGTAAGATGACCTTAATACAAAAATGGAAGTTCTCAGTGACACTTCTGCCTGGTTTCAGAATCAGTTTTAAGTCACCCCCCTCCACGTAAACAAGTAGGACATTGCTCTTGTAAATAAAAAGTCACTTTTCCATGTTTTTATTCAGAGTTTGTACATTGCTGCTGCATGTTCAGATGTTAATTTTGCTAACTTCTTCAGTTATTTGATGCTTGGAAAAAAAACCCATTGATGTATGCAACAGAGTAGATAGCAGACCAGTTATGTATTTTTAAATGATTTATGTCATTTTTAAAGTTTTGATCATATGTCTTGCTTTTAGACATAGCAGGCATTCCATACTATCTCACAGGGGCGGATTAAGGACTGAAGAAGCTCCGGGGCTTAACACACACACACACACACACACACACACGCGCGCACGCGCGTGCACACACACACACACACATACGTGACACGCACTAGTCATCATATATATTTGTCTTGTACCACATAATTTTTAATCTGAAGCTACATATTAAGCATATTCAGGGCAGAATATTGTTCCTCTTAGTGTTTAGTGTGAGATGATAGTAAATATTCCCTTTCTTTCTCCAACAACTTTACCTGATAGTAAGCTAACTTTAGGCAAACCAGCAGCACAACAAATATTTTCAAATAAGACTCACAAACCTGAGTCAGCACCAGTATCATCAAAGCTGGGGTTCTGTCGCGGTACTTTTGGTCTAAAAACGTCCTTATGTCCATCTTCACTCCTGCGTTTCAGGCAGAGTGTAGAAGAAACCAGGCACTGCAGAAGAAGCCGGCTGTGGAGGCTCAGGCAGGCTGTATACAAACTATTGCTAGCTGCTCCCTTTCTGTTGGACTTTGGTACTGCATGTTACTTCCACGTTTGAGATCCAGGGCTTTTCATTAAAGATTCGGGGCTTGAGCCCAAGTAGCCGGGCCTAACGCCGCCCCTGCTATCTCAGCTACACACACCCTACCCTGTAGTGGCCTACAGAGGATGTGAATTGTGCAAGGGCTCCCTCCATTCATGCTCTGGTCACATGGCCCCTCCTGTCAATAGTTACCTGCAGTAGCTTGTATCAGCTCATCTGTAAATGACTATGGTCAATAAGTTTTACCATTCATAGTATCTAATAAATGTTTGTCACCACTAGCAGTTTACAGTCTGAGAAGACTTCAGATGCTTTTTTAATGAAAACTCACTGAATCACTGGTGTGAAAGAGCTCCATCCTCTGTTGGTCTACATATGATCTCATCACTTGTACAACACTTTGAAAGAGTGTTTGTGAAAAAGCGTGGGACAGAGCCAGTATTGTACTGACACTGCTTTTGTACATTTCATTAGAAGTTTTGCCAAAACTGCTCGGCAGGGAGATGCATGTGTTCGTCCGCCACAGAGCAATCGCTCCCGACTTCCTCCCCAGTTTTTATTACTTACCCCTGGAAGTACAGCTTCCAGACAGTAGTCAGTATTTTCCTGTAGCACTATCCTCTCCTCAGGATAGCAAAGCAAGATATGAGGAACAGAAGAAATGCATTTAAACATTGTAGTCGTTTGTTTTTTGTGTAAACAAAACGGTGAAAAAGTGAACTGGAGACTTGTGGCAGCAGTTTTTGTTTTGTTGTCAGTGAGAATACAGAGTAGGCTGTGTGTGGGGGTGAGTTGGAAGGAGATGTGGTCACCATGGGCTCTGTGCAGGAATGGAGACGACAGGGCCAAGCAGCCAGAGACTCCAGCTCTCATTATTAACTCTTGTGAGACTCTTTAGGAACACGGGAGGAAGCTTATCTGGTCTCTCCTTAGACCTCTCTAACATTCTGGGACACAGATCTGTGTTGTGCTGTAGTATAAACAAAGTTATGGGAGTTTGAACATGATCAGTCACAAGTCTTTGTTTTGAAATGCAAATGTTATTAATGGTGCTGCTGACACACAAGCATCATAGCACCCTTATCGCTAATCACCAGTCTCTTATGATTTACAGCTTGTAGTTGTTGCAGGTGAACTTTCTATAGAAGTCTAATTTCTAATCTGGTTCTTTTTTGGCAATTTAAGAGCTACTGGTCATCTTGGTGATCTTAATGAGCCACTAGCAGCTGCTTTAACATTTCTGTTGATCTTAGTCTTCATTACACTGCCTCTTCCACAGTTTGCACATCAAACTAAAGCATTTAGGCAAGGCAAGGCAGCTTTATTTGTATAGCACATTAATTCAAACCCAAAGGCAATTCAAACTGTGTTACAGAAGCAAGAACAGCAAACACAGTAAATCAAATAAAGAAATGTAGATATTAATTTCAGATTTAACAAACAGATTAAAGGCATAGTCAAAAGGGCAGCAGTTACAGTGCAGAAAGTGCAGCATAAGAAACATTTATTGAAAGGCTAATTAATTCATGAAGGTTTTTAATTTAGATTTAAAAGTTACTAGAGTTGGGGCACATGAGGTCATGAGGAAGCTGATTCCACCTGTGTCCAGCACAGTGACTAAAAGCAGCTTCACCCTGCTTCGTTCTGACCTGAGGTTCTACCAGCTGATTGTTTCCCAAGGATCTGAGAGCCCTGCTGGGCGAATATACTGGAATGACTTTCATGACTTTTGGCCCCATGCCACTGAGGGATTTACAGACTAGTGAAAGCACTTTGAAGTTGATTCTGTAGTTTACTGGTAACCAGTGTAGAGATTTAAGAACAGGAGTGATGTGCTCGGTTCTTTTGGTTCTTGTTAAGACTCTAGCAGCAGCATTATGAATAAGCTACATTTGTTTTACAGCTGTTTTGGGAAGACCAGTTAGAATACCTTTGCAGTAGTCCAGCTTGCTGGAGATGAACACATGAATTAGTTTCTCTGGGTATTGTTTTGACATAAGACCTCTGAGTCTTGCTAATTGATGGAGATGATAAAATGCAGATCTAGTTACAGCTTTAACGTGACC